CAACTCTTCTCTGAACAAGAATGGACAGAAATCCATATTTCTCAGCAGTTTATCACAGAACTGACATCTAGAAATGGAAGCATGAACCTGGCAAAATGAAGTTGGGTTCCTAGTATCACTGTGCAAAACCAGCTTACCTCTCCTCTAACAGACACAATGTGCCCTCAGCATCCTTGTACCCCATGCAGTTTCACTCTTTGTGCCTTTTTCATGCTAATCCCTCAACCTAGGAAATCCTTTTACTTTATCCACTTTGCAAACTCCTACTAGTCTTTTAAGACCATTTTAAGACCTAGACTAGATGAAGTGTCGCCTCTCCTGGGAACAGCAATATCCACCCCTTTGTCCACTGGATTAATTGCTTATCATTTGGTTCCCAAAGGGACCTAGGCGAAGCCTCAAAAAGCACTTACTTGGGGCGCCTGGGTGGCTCAGTTGGTTAAGCGACTGCCTTCGGCTCAGGTCATGATCCTGGAGTCCTGGGATCGAGTTCCGCGTCGGGCTCCCTGCTCAATAGGGAGTCTGCTTCTCCCTCTGACCCTCCTCCCTCTCATGCTCTCTGTCTCTCATTCTGTCTGTCTCAAATAAATAAATAAAAATCTTAAAAAAAAAAAAAAAGCACTTACTTTATGTAGTTAGTTGTTTCTGTCTACTACCTCCATGTAATGGAGAAGGTGGGGGATTATCTTGTTTGCATTTGTATCTTAGTGCCCAGCACCAGCTGCTAATACCCAGTCCAGGGTAGGTTCTTAAAACATACTTGGCTTTTTGTTTTGGTTTTTTTTTTAATATATATTTTTTATAGATTTTTATTTATTTATTTGACACAGAGAGAGAGAGAGAGAGAGCAGGAACACAAGCAGGGGGAGTGGGAGAGAGAGAAGCACACTTCGCGCGGAGCAGGGAGCCTGATGTGGGGCTCGATCCCAGGACCCTGAGACCATGACCTGAGCCGAAGGCAGACGCTTAACGACTGAGCCACCCAGGCGCCCCCTTAAAACATATTTGATTGAAAAAAATGAACCAAAGAATAAAATCAACACAGCGAACATGGGTGCGATTCCGCTCTACTTTTCAATCCATTCAATGCTGGAGCCAGGAATCTGTTTGGGAAGCACTAAGTCCTCTGCCTTTCCACTACTCCTACCACTCCTCAGAATGAAGAGGCTTAAAATAGCACCTTTCTTCAACTTCATATGTCAAATACAAATACGAATTCAAGACTCTTCATTGGCTTCTATCTCCAGCTTCTTTCTTTAAGAACAGCCTCTTTGACAGAGCAGGAGTGTGTGGTAGACAGGCTAACAAACCACGTTATCCTCATTGTCCAAATCACGGGGCTGCGTAAGTCCCTTTAGCTGTTAATGGAACCGTGTGATGTCTCATCCTGTTCAGCAGAGGTCAAGTTCTACCAGCAGAGCTCTTTCTGGAACTGCAGTGGTGGTGCTTTGCACAAAGTAGTCATTAGAAAATTTATGTTTTCGGGGTGCCTGGGTGGCTCAGCTGGTTGGGCGTCTGCCTTCGGCTTCCGTGGTCCTGGAGTCCCGGATCGAGCCCTGCATCGGGCTCCCTGCTCAGTGGGGGGTCTGCTTCTCCTTCTGCCCCTCACTCCACTCTCGTGCTCTCTCTCACTCTCTCTCTCTCTCAAATAAATACATTAAAAAAAGAAAAAGAAAATGTGTGTTCTCACCATATATTACCAGGAAAATGAGGCAGGCCAGGAGGAGATGCTGGGGAGTCCGCCCCTGTCACACTCTAGTCTTGACACAGCAGAAGCCTCAACAAAGGGATTAATCGAGGAAACTTAGGATCTTTGGCATACATTTCTCAGTCATACAACATCTAGAATATTTATGGCTGCCAGTTTAGAGAAATAGGTTGCACCAGTCAAGCTGTTAATTGCAAGCAACACCTCAGACTCACCTCAAAACAGCTTACTATTTTGCAAAATTGCAAACTCACCTCAAAATAACTTAGGCCAAAAAGAGGAATATACAAAGTTATGGAATCAAACCAAGATTAGCTTCGGGACTGATACACTGTCAGATCGTGCTTTCCTCCTTTCTCTGTTCTGCTTCTGTGTTGGTTCACTCTCTTCTCCTACAGATAGGCAAGCAGTGGAAAGCTTGGCCAACGTAGCAATTGGAGCATCTACAAGGTTCCAGGAAAAACTCCATTTGGCCCAGGCCAGATCATATGAGTGCCCCTGTATTCAAGGGAGTGGTCTCCATTACCAGGAATTTGGGGGAGTACAAGCATGATCACTGGATAAATCTTTGCCAGTTAGGTGACTTGACAGTTTTGTTGACTGCACGTTAATAATGGCAGATATCTTTTCTTTTTTTAAAGATTTTATTTGGGAGAGAGAGCGCGCGCAAACACGGGGGGCTTGTGGGTGTGCTGGTGGGGAGGGGAGCAGCAGAAGCGTAAGGAGAGGGAAACAGACCCTGAGCTGAGCCCAGAGCCCCACATGCAGCTCCATCCCAGGACCCCGAGATCATGACCTGAGCCAAAGGCAGTCGCTTAACCGACTGAGCCAGCCAGGTGCCTCTCATTGTTCAAAATACAGAAAGTTCAGGGATACCAGGCTGGCTCAGTAGGAAGAGCATGTGACTCTTGATCTCAGGGTTGTGAGTTCAAGCCCCACGTTGGGTGTAGAGATTACGTAAAAATAAACAAAATCTTAAAAAATATAAAATAAAATAAAATATAGAAAGTTTGGAAAGGAAAAAGGAGTGGGAAATACCCCATAATTCCACCACTCAAACGACAGCCATTGTTAGCCTTCTGTTTTGTTTAATGCTTAAAAAAAAAATCTCATAGGGGCATCTGGGTGGCTCAATTGTTAAATGTCTGCTTTTGGCTCGGGTCATGATCCCAGGGTCCTGGGATTGAGGCCCGCATCAGGCTCCCTGCTCAGCGGGAAGCCTACTTCTCCCTCTCCCACACCCCCTGCTGTGTTCCCTTTCTCACTGGGTCTCTCTCTGTGTCAAATAAATATTAAAAAAAAAAATCCCACATATGTAATTTTGCTTCCTGATTCTTTAATATAACATGCATTTCCCCATGTCATATAACTCCTTAAAACATTGCTTTAAATAGCTATATAGTATACTCTGAAAACTTTTTAACTAAAACCTCGTTCAGAAGGAAAGAAGGCAGTGGAGTGAGTCAGCATTCTTCCCATACATGTGCTCAGTCCTCAGGCACAGCAGGTCACGGGACTCAATTCCAGCTACAGAAAGGGGCCATCATACTGGAGTTCCCCTCCCCCACTTCCTGCATTCCTCTAAACACTTACAAACTTTTCTCCTCCTCGCTCATCCTTTCTCTGCTCCAGGCTCAGAGGATTTGCTATGAGTTCGGCTAGTGGTGCAAACAGTTCAGGTTTGAATCCCGATACTTTGTAGTGATATGATGTGGGAAATTCCTTTTACTTCTCCAAATACCATATGTAAAATGGGGATTTTTTTCACAGAGCCCTTCTGAAGATTAAATTATATTCTGTATGTAAAACACTTAGCACATACTAGGTGATCAATAAGTGGTAGTGAAAACAGAAAAACCCAGATTCCCCTCTAGCTATAGCCCTCTTCTCCCTTGCCCTTCTCTTCCAGCCATGTTTCTTTTTTTTTTTTTTTTAAAGATTATTTATTTATTTGAGAGAGAGAGAGCGCGCGCTCACCAGCAGGGGTGCAGGAGAGGGAGAAGCAGACTCCCAGCCAAGCAGAGAGCCCGACACGGGACTCGATCCCAGGACCCTGAGATCATGACCTGAGCTGAAGGCAGACACTCAACCGACTGAGCCACCCAGGCGCCCCTCAGCCATGTTTCTTGAAAATGATTTTTACATGCTGTCTCTATTCACTCATCTCCCATTTTTACCCCAACTCACTGTAATCTGGCCTTTGTTCCCCCCACTAAGACTGCTCACCAAAGAGCTCCACTCTAGATGCCTTCATGGAGCTTTGAGTCACTTCTTCAACTTTTCTGTATATAGTCACACTTAATTTCTCTTTCAGACTTCTCTCTTGATTTCTGCGACACTAGTCTTCCCAATTTTCCTAATATTCAGACTGCCCCTTCTTAACTCTCCTTGGTTGCCTGCACTCTTTCCATTAACTAGTATTTGTCCTCAGCTTCAACGTGTCTGGAAAAAGCAAGATTCTTTGCCATAACATCTGAGTTGGAATTCTGGCTTTCCTACTCACCAAACTGAGCTCCTAAGTTATTTAACTTACCTCAGCCTCTATAGTCTCATCGGCGAAAAGGGGACCTCTCTCTGGATAATCATCCAAAATGGAGCCATTGTACACTAAACCTGTGCTTCCCATTGGCATTACGCATTGGCAGGCATAAATTGGAATTCCAGGCCTGGAAACCCATTTCATATTTCATATAAAGTATTGTTAGCAATATTTTATTTTTATTTTTATTTTTATTTTAAAGATTTTATTTATTTATTTGAGAGAGAGAATGAGAGACAGAGAGCATGAGAGGGAGGAGGGTCAGAGGGAGAAGCAGGCTCCCTGCCGAGCAGGGAGCCCGATGTGGGACTTGACCCCGGGACTCCAGGATCATGACCCGAGCCGAAGGCAGTCGCTTAACCAACTGAGCCACCCAGGCGCCCCGAAACACAGAAATTCTTAGGATCTGACACCTTCATGAAGTTTCTGAGATTATGTTTTGGGATATGTTGAGATGTCCCTTCTGAAGTAGAAGATAAACTACTATGTCTTTTTTTTTTTTTTTTAAGATTTTATTTATTTATTTGAGAGAGAGAATGAGATAGAGACAGAGAGAGCATGAGAGGGGGGAGCATCAGAGGGAGAAGCAGACTCCCCGCTGAGCAGGGAGCCCGATGCTGCGGGACTCGATCCCGGGACTCCAGGATCATGACCTGAGCCGAAGGCAGTCGCTTAACCAACTGAGCCACCCAGGCGCCCCTGTTAGCAATATTTTAAATGCCATAAGAATGTCAAAACTCAAAACAAGTAAGATGATCTTCAAAATATTTATTAACCATATAAAACTAAACAATATGAACTATGATATAAACGTTCCTTGAGGTATTTTTCTTCACGGGCTGGACTGGCCGAGGTTTCTTAGACTCTTAGTTTAATGAAGTTTGGACAGAACATGCCATCTTTTCCTGGTAAATCTTCCTAGAGCATACATAGATAGTTTTCCTTATTCCAGAGACCTTTGAACTGCATTGAAAATTAGGGTCATCTGCCACAAAGAAAGAAAAAGTTCAATGATGTTCAGATGAATGCTTCTCAAAGTTTTTAAAAGCTAAGTGCTGGGAAAGGGGCAGTTTCAATGATGTCTTACTCCTCCATTTTTATAAAAATCTACCTTGCTGAGCTTCTGAGAAATTTCTAACAATACAACCGGGTTTGCAGGAGACACTTCTAGATCCACTCAATCTGCAATGTCAAATCAGTTTCAGTGATGCTTTTCATAGTTATACAAATGCCTCAAAAAACTGAATGAGGCAGTTTCCTCCAATTCCTAGTTCCAGGCTTCATTTACGATTTTCACAATATCCAAAACACATCCAAAATTCTTTTTTGATCCATCCTCCTTGTTGATTGCTTTAATTGGCCTTCAAAAATTTCACACATAAAAATACCTTAGGGATGCAATCACTTATTTGATCTGTTGGCTAAAGTCAGGGAGATGCTTTGTGGAGATGAATTGGGGAGAAAGAAGGCTAATGTCAGGATGCTGCTGTTTTAAGAATTAGGAGACAGCTGAAAGCAGTACCCAAATCCAGCTGTTAGCAATATTTTAAATGCCATTATTTCTTGACCTGTGGAACAGAGTGAAAACCAAAGCTTCAGAACTGGCTCTTCAAAAGACATTAGCTCCCTAGTTAAAGTGGGATGCCTTGGATTCATGGCAAGTTAAAGGTAAGGCAACAATTTCATTTTGCAGTCAACTGCAACGTATGATTCCTCCTATCTGCCTGCATAGTCAATACTTAAAATTTTTCTTCCTTACTAAAGTCAGCTTTTCAAAGCAGTTTTATCAATCTTAGGTCTCTGTCTCAAACAGTAACAGGCCCTTGCATTTTAGTTAACTTTTCTGGAAAATCCTTCAATGCTTCCATATTAGCACTTGTAGCATCCTCCTGATGTTATGCTAACAAGTTCTCATTCTATTATATAAAAACAAAAACTGTTCCGTGTACAGTGCTCCCAATGAAATCCCTATTCTCCTGTGTCTATCCACAGGGGTCCTAGTTCAGGCCCTCTTTACTCTTACCCTGAGTCAGTACAATGGCTTTGAAATCAGTCTAAATGTAATTCCCTGGATCTACTCACTGCTCTACCTCCAGCATCTTCGCAAGCTATGTAATTGTCCTTTGAGCTATCACTCTACCTGCAGAATCCCCCCAACATAGCACTTAATCACATTTTATTGTCATTTTATGTTTACATGGGTCTCCTCTATTTTATCCTGAGTACTGAGGGGCAAAGACTATTTCTTACAGGTCTTTGGTCTACCGGTTAGTACATAGAAGGCATTCAACCTAATTATCCTGTGGTGAATATGAGCCCAACTCTGTCAGCTTTTAGATGGGCTTAAGAATTCCTTCTAAAAAACCAGATTTTTTTCCTACTTAATCTAATATTCTTAAACAATATGTGAAAAATTTACTGCAATTATCAACTTGAAAAATGCCTGATTTTTTTCTTTGAAGCTAGTGCACTAGAAAAATGCACCTCAATGACTTTGAGTGACCCTAATGTACACCAATTATACTTTTTATAGTTTTGTCTCCAGTGACTACTGAAATGTTACCTACTCCAGTCTCTGCAGCTTGTTTTCTCTCAGCCCCCCGCATCAGCTTTTTTATCTAATTTACCTGTCTGCACTAATTCCTCTCACTCCTCTAGAATGTGCTTTTTAACATGCCATAGGTTTAAAAGCTAAAGTAATTAAGCTTATTAGAAATGTTTATAGTGGGAAGATACAGACCCTAATCAACAGGAATTATGTACCCATGATCAAAAAGCACAAGGATCTTGCAAAATCCTTTTTGGTTTTTTGGGAGATTGGGGGGTGGGGAACGTTCATTTTTAAGCTCTAAGGCCTTTGCTGCTTACTCTGGTTCTAATCTATATCAGAAAAAGATGTCACATAGAATTAGCATTGTTTAATCACTTAAATTTGCACTCTCGACTCTTAAGAAATCCAGCCTAGTTGTTACAACCTCACTTTAAAGCTCTTGTGTGACTCAGCTTAAGTTAGAAAGTTGAGTCATTATATCCACTTAATAATCTAAAGCCATTTTAAACTACATTATCTTACATTTCTAGCAGATTAAATGCATAATATGCAATGTGATGTACAAATATTAAATACTTATAGTGACAAAAAACATTTATGGTTGATGGACAAATTTTTCTCCAATTACAAAATGTAACTGCTGTAGCCTAAAGCTCATCATTAAATACTGTTTCATATTCTATTGAAAAATGTGCCCTTTTAGTACTTTATATACATTATACTCTAAATGTTAAAATGTAGTGATACTAGAGATAAAATGGTAGAAAACAGGCATCACAAAGATTTAGACAATTAAGGTAAGCTCAGAGTGACTTTTAATATGCCAATCAATGTTAATAAAACACAAGTCAAACAGACAAGTGCAAACATGCTGTAAACCAAAATTAATAGGAAAGCAAACAATAGACAAATTCTGTGTTTTTGTTTTTTGCAATGTCTGGTTAGCCAGTATTATTAGTCAAATGGCTTATCATTGATAAAATATATTTTGTGAAAAGCTTGGAATAGTCAGAAGTCATTCTGGCATTTCAAACAGCTATGTACACTATCACCAAGATTAGTTTATATACACAAATATTGAAGAGAAACCGGGCAAAACATTTAAAAACAGACTAACAATACAATCAAGTACAAAACTTGGGTAGAGGGAGGGAACATTTTAAAAAAGAGTCAGGGAAGGGCATTACCAGGAAAAATTACAAAACCAGTAACAATTATACTACATTAATACAGCAATCCAAAAGGGGGAAAAAAAAGGTGCATTACTCCAATGCACTAGCTTCAAAGTTCAAAGAAAAAAGGCAAATAGCTGCTTGTCATCAAGAGCAGCTATATATTTCACATAATTGTTTTCCAAAAAAGCCTATTAACAACAATGATTGTTTAATGCTACAATTTTACAGCAAAGACAAAACTAGAATAGCAGCAAATTCACAAGGCAATACTTCCACAGAATTATCATTCCATGGTTCATGCAATGCCTACAAAGTGCTCCCAGTTGGATATACAAGTATAATTCACAATTTAAAAAAAAGAAATGTAAGATTGACACACAGGTACATTGAAGGCTGAGTAGTACTGAGTCTCTTAGCATTTCCCTTTTCAAAGGGAGAATATGTTTGCAACAAAGCCCTTGAGTCCCTTTTACAGGTCACTACAAGGAAAGACACCTTTTATTACGATGCAACAGCAAACTATAAGCAGCACACCACCACAGTGGTTAACCCTAGAAAGTCCGGTGTACCCTCAGCAGTGACTGACGGCCTACAGGAGACAGACTAGTAACACTAGATGCAAGCCTGATATAGCACTGGTCAAAATACAGCTTTCAACTGTAATTCACAAACAGAAGTCCTAAAAGGTCTTTCAGTAAAACTACTGACACCGATTGAGAAAGTAATTGCAAGCTGGATTCTAGCAGTGATTTCAACCTAGCTTCCTCTTGTCACAGTTTTTTGGGGGAGGTGGGAAATGAGTAGTTCAGTATATGGTAAGGCTGACAGAGCGGTTCATTTTCTTTCCAATAAGTCGAGATGTTCTATTACTCTGGGTGGTGGACCTAGTGGTCATCCGATCAGTGAAGAGTGCTCTTTCCTCAGCTGCAGCTTTTGCCATCTGAGCTTTCTTGAGTTCTCTAAGAACATAAAAATAGGAAACAAGACTTTTCACCTATTGTATTAATCCTAGGAAGGGATCCTAAGAGGCCAAACACAAACTATGTTATCAGCTGGGAGATCTTAGCATGCCATCATTTTTCTAAAATACAACTGAGGAAAAAAAATTACAGTATGAAACTTTAGCTTGTGCTCAAACAACTTCAATTTATGAAATGATTTTATTTTGTGCTCTCACAATTAAAACATCATATACACTTGGACCCAAATAATAAAGATGCTAGTAATGACTTTGAGTTGTAATACAAAATAATTTCAAACAGAACTCTAATTCGTATTGTGAAAATATCTTTACATAATAAAGACAAAAGGAAACTTCTACTTCCTACTTGTCTGAACTACGATGGCTATCAAACTAGTGGCAAATAAACCTTTTGTATTTCAAGTCAGTTTTATTAGATTAAAATCAGCAATAAAGCAAATAAATTAGAATTATCATTCCAATCAATTTTCTGAAATGTCAAAGGTCATTCAGACAAAATAGGAGACACATTTACCAACGTAATTGATGTTAATTTAATCCTTCCATAAAAAATAAACAGAATGAAGGAAACTGTTAATTTATGGTGAGAGTTTAAGGGGAAAGAAAAGCCTGTACAGGCTCACTTAGCTTTTGCTACAATTTAGGGATTGGGGATTATCACCACTTGCAAATATATGCTGGTCTTAAACATTTTTAAGTCCATAATTTAAAAGTTTAGGGAACAATACCAAGTAATAGGTCACAAATAACTAATTAAAGGCAGAAATCCCCAAATTTTAACTGTATAACATACCAAACCACTACAGCCTTCACTGACAAAAAACCTAAATCATCGCTCATTAAAATTTAAGAATGAAAATAAGAAAGTTAAAACAAAACATTCCAAAAAACTCTCACTTACTTCTGCAAAAGTGAATTTTTGAATTTTTCAGCATTCAATTCTATCCGTAATTGTTCTGCACTTTTTCTAGAAGCAGACAGCAATACTGAATGCTTTACCAGTGCCATTGCTGAAGGTCTTCTCTCTGGATCTGGATGAATCATAACCTTAGAAGGAGAAATGAAATTAAGATAAAGACATGCAATTTAATAAAATATAAAACCATGTCAATAAAAAGTGCTTATATACAAAAAATGCTCACTTTTAGCAACTCTGTAAACTCTTGGGAAAGCACTTGGGGAATCCGGGGTAATCTACCCTGTCTGATTTCATGCCATTGGTCTCCATTTCTGGGAAGAGGTTCAGCACCAGCAGCACATACCACCGTGAGGGCAAGGGCAAAAATATCCGCTTTTGGTAGATGGGTATAGTTCTGTAAAATTTAAAAAAAATTTTAAGGGACTATAAAAATGGCCAAAATAAGTGATGACAGGTGAGAAATAAGACTAGATTAAAATATCCAATGCTACATTTAACCTTTAAAACCTATTCAGAGACGAAGTTAAATTTGAGGAGCTTTTTAAAATCACAAATACATATATACTCTGGGAGGGGAGTGGTAAATACATTTCTAAAAGTAAATGCCTTCTCTTTTTCACTAGTCCATTTCAACTCTCAGAATAACTCCCATCCTGGGGCATTCATATGCATACAGGAAACATGCATACATTGACAAGTTACAAATACATGTACACATATAAAAAGAACAATGGGATCGCGCAATTTATTTGTTCTACTTTCATTCTAAACTCTTATCAAAAAAATATTTTGTCACACTTTTTTTGGGACACATTTTTTCAAACAGTACTATTAACTATATGCTGTAATTTATTTAATCGTTCCTCTATTGCTAAACATTTATATTATTCTCAATTTATTTGTATATGAACATTTCTGTAGGCAAGAATTTCCTAGAAATGGAAATTCTGGGTCAAAGGGTACAGGATTTTAAAACGTTGATAGATACAAACGTTGATCTCCTAAAAGGCTATGCCATTTTACAGTTCCATCAGTAGTTTATGAGAATTTCTTTTATAGCTCCATCATTGTAATACTGTAAATCTTTACCTTTACTCAACTTTCCTAGATTAAATATCCCCAGCTGATGGTTTAGGCTTTCTTTATTTTACTAGTTATTAGCTTAAAATTTTAATATGTTTGCATTGTTATAAAGCAAATTGCATTATTAAAGGAAAAAAACTACCTCCTGCAAAACTTCATTTGCAAGAAAACGGCTATCACCCTCTTCAACTTGTGGACTAGAGATTCTTGTTACATGTCCAAGATCACCTGTAAGTATTGAAAAAAATAGAGTCAAGAGTTAAACAGCCTCCTACTTTATTTTAAGGCAATAAGCTGGTTATCTTTCTTTCTTACCTATTTTAAACATAACTTTGTTGGATGCCCAGTCATCTTCATCTCCTTCTTCAGAGGCAGCATTTGGGATTGAGGTTCGAGATATGAAAATATTACCTGTCAAACAGTTATTTTTGTCAGCTGCACTAACAATTAATGGTGTAACAAAAATTCATAAACAAGGCCGTACATCAGAATCATCCCAAAAGCTTTCAAATGTATAGATTTTCATATGTTCTACCCCCAAACCAAATGAGAGTAAGAATCTCAGGGGACAGGAAATGGGGTTGTATTTTCTAAGGAACGTATTTTCTGGACTAATACTGATCTTTGAACACTTGGAAACCACTTCATTAGACCCTTGTCATCTACACAGTGATCTCTGGTTTTAACTATATAGAAACAATACAAAAAAGGCAATAATGTAGTAATCTGTGGTGCTTCTAAATCATAAATTTTAAGCTAATACTATGGGCTGGTATGAAAAGTACAAGTAATGTAACTTTTGAGTTTGGCTGTATCTACATCCCAATGTGGCTTTGTGGTTCATCTCTGCTGTACACATACTTTTCTTCTTCAAATTCAGGTAAGTTCCTGATTAATGTTAAGTTTCAGTGAGAGATTTCATTTTAATAGTTTTACCAATGTAATACTGAGTTTATAAATGTTACATTCAATTAAGTCATCTTTCCAATTTCACTTTATTTATAGGATAATTTTTTTTTTTAAAAGATTTTATTTATTCGACAGAGAGAGACACAGCGAGAGAGGGAACACAGCAGGGGGAGTGGGAGAGGGAGAAGCAGGCCTCCCGTGGAGCAGGGAGCCCGATGCGGGGCTCGATCCCAGGACCCTGGGATCACGACCCGAGCCGAAGGCAGACGCTTAACGACTGAGCCACCCAGGCGCCCCAGGATAATTTATTTTTCTATGTTATTTATAAATTTGAAATTTTAGGGCCCCTGGGAGGCTCACTCGTTAAGCGTCTGCCTTCGGCTCGGGTCGTGATCCCAGGGTCCTGGGATCGAGCCCCGCATCGGGCTCCCTGCTCCACGGGAGGCCTGCTTCTCCCTCTCCCACTCCCCCTGCTGTGTTCCCTCTCTCGCTGTGTCTCTGTCAAATAAATAAATAAAAATCTTTAAAAAAAAAATTGAAATTTTAAAACTTCATATGCCTTAATATTTTCAACTTTTGTACTTATAAGGGTCTACTATGTTTGTCTGACACTTAAAACAAGATATGAATGAGTACAGGCAAACCTTACTAATTCCTATTTACTGCCATCAGCCCAAATATTATTTTTCCCCTTTTGGAAAATAAAAATTTTAGTGAGTTATTAACATACAGATAAATTCTTCACATAACTTATAAGATTCAAGTAAGTTGTGTAAAATGATTTAAATTCTCATGAATCACACATTTCCATAGACAAAAAAACAAACCTTCATTAAATTCAACTTAGAAACACCTAGCCTAAAATTCACACTTGAATTCATCAACCTGTTAGTTTTAACTTCCAATTTATAGGAAACACAGGGGAAAAAGGAGTAAGATAAATGATGCAAGGGAGCAACCAGTCAAATCCAGAAGAAAGGACAAGACAAAGTCCATATTAGTATTATTTTTTTTAAGGTAGAGGAAGGGTAAAACCTGAAGGGAAAAAAAAAAAGAATAGAAGTAAATGGGATGCATGGTCCTGAAAATGGATACTAGTTTGGACAAGTAAACCAAAAGAACTTGGTTACCTGGGAAAAATTTTAAAATGATCTAGCTATTAGAATAGATGAAAATGTACTAAAACAAAAAGGTAGGGGGCTCCTGGGTGGCTCAGTTGGTCATGCGACTGCCTTCAGCTCAAGTCATGATCCCAGAGTGCTGGGATTGAATCCCACATTGGGCTCCCAGCTCAACGGGGAGCCCGCTTCTCCCTTTGACCCTCTCCCCTCTCATGCTGTTTCTCTCTCTCAAATAAATAAATAAATAAATAAATAAAATCTACCAAAAAAAAAAAAAGGTAGAGTTGACTTACAAAAAGTTTTAAAATAGTGTGTACATTATGAGGTTATTTTAATAAAATGAGAGGGATGTGCACTAAGATGTTACTGCAGCATTCACTGGCACCCTTTTTTAATGCAAGATAATCATACTGCGGGGCACCTCGGTGGCTCAGTGGGTTAAGCATCTGCCTTCAGCTCAGATCATGACCCCAGAGTCCTGGGATTGAGCCCCACATCGGGCTCCTTGCTCAGCAGGGAGCCTGCTTCTCCCTCTGCTGCTCCCCCTGCTTGTGTTCTCTCTGACAAATAAAAATCTTAAAAATATATATTAAAAAAAAAAAAAGGTAGTCATACTGCATGTGCCATTTGTTTTCTGAATAATGCGGTAACACCTTCATGGTATATAGGCTAGAAATACCACATGTTACATGGCACTTATGTTTCCAAAAACGTGTTCACATATCTCATTTTATTCTAACCACCCTGTTAGCAGGACCAGCATTATTTTGTAATTATGATTCTATAACCTAGTAGAAGAGAGGGGCTTTAAACAACAGGTTCTTAGTCTCCCCATCAGAGTCCTACTTCATGACTATGTGGTTTCCATAAGATGCAGCAAATTTTTCCAACTTTTAATAAAAATGAATTGTCTCAAATATTTTGGAATAACAAGAGGTAAATGGAAATCATAAGACAATATAAATATGTGGCTCAAAGGTCTTTTAAAATTAACAATGAAAAAACAGAGTAAGATGTTTTAATGAAATCATTTATTCTCTATAACACTAAAGAACACAGGTCAGAGAATTTGTAATACTTACTAGGCTTTATATCCATATGAACCAAAGACATTGAATGAATATACCTCAAGCCCCGGCCAACTTGCAAAAGGAGATCCTTCAACTCTGCTTCTGTGAAGTAACTCATGCTTCTATAGTTTTCACTTATGGCATCAGCTAAACTTCCACCTAACAAGCATGGGAAAAATTAGCAATTTCCTCTTCGTGAGATCTTATTTCTTTTCCCTCCATCTTGAGTTTGTGGCCACAAACTCAACAAAGAAAGTAGCATTTTGTACGACCTATTCTCTTTTTCCTGCTTGTGAAATCTAAAGTTTATTTACTCTTTCAATAAATAATATACTCACATGGGTACAAAATATAAAGTCTGGTTCATCCATATACCCCAGCATCCCACCTGGTTCTTTTTCCCCAGAATAAACCAATGTTACTGGTTTCTTATATATTTTTTCAACTCCTTTTCATACAAACGATAACATATTTTTCATTATCTTGAAGATTAGTCTTTACTAACATACAAAGACTACCTTGTTCTCTCGTGTCTCTACAGAATTCCATTGTATAATTGAATGGTGATGCATTAACCAATCTCCTAATTGATGAACATTTTAATTTCCAAGCCTTTGCTACTATATACTATAGTCTAAGGATAACTTTGTACATTGGTCATTTCACATGCATTTAACATATCTCATAGAAACAAATTGCTGGTTTAAAGGGTTATACAGGGGCGCCTGGGTGACACTTGATTCAGAGTCTGACTCTTGGTTTTGGCTCAGCTCATGATCTTGGGGTCGCGGAATCGAGCCCTCCCTTGGGCTAGCACTCAGTGCGGGGTCTGCTTGTCCCTCTCACTCTGTTCCTCTCGGCACCCTGCCCTCATGCTCATGCACACACTCAAATAAATAAAATCGTTTTTTAAAAAATAAAGAATATGTTCAGTCATAGAACAGTACTAATATGTGACTCTAGTACGTGTGTGAAATACTAACTTATATATAGAATATATTTTTATAGCTGAGAGGGACATTTCTCTATTTATCCTTCTACAAAACAGCTTAGGGTTGGTATTCACACCATCAGTGCCAAACCTTCATTGCCTGTGAAAATTCACATAAAAGAAGTAACAGTGTATTTGCTTTCTGATTTCAAAATGGCTGGTACTTAAACTCTGCTAGCATGTGCCTTATGTGAATCTGGGGCCATTTTACTTACACTTACACACACACACACACACAAGACAAATCTGGGGCCATTTTACTTACACTTACATACACACACACACACACACACACACAGAGTTCCCCATAGAGAAGGCTGTACCAATTTATACTCCCATCATTAATGTCTGAGAATAACTTTTCCCACACCCTCGACAGCAGTCTATAAATTTTATAGGTAAAAACCAGTGTTTTAGTAGTTTTAACTTATACTACTTTTGTTCTGAATGAGAATAAAACCTGCTTTTATAGGAGCAGTCAAAGCAACCAGCTCATTTGTTTATACTTTAAAAAACTTTGTAAGTTTATACTTCATAAGTTTTATTTAAAACACTGTAAAAGTTTATAACTTATTATCTCAGGAAAAGAGGAGTTATGTAAAACAAAACAAAAATCAAAAACCAAAACAAACCACTTCTGTTTAAAGCTTAGTTAGGAATAATGAAATCAGAGCCAGAGTAATAAAATCAGGAAGGTATATTGATATATATTAGTCAGGAAAGGAAGTCCTACAATTTGAATAAGACTAGGTAGCAAAATGTCCAATGTGTTTTAAAAATAAATATAAATCACACATCTCAATATTTTAGACTTAAGTATGTTCTCCATACTTGTACAAATCTTGAACTGCAAGAAAAAGAGGGCTCTAGAAGGGAGGTCAATAAATGGGCTTGAAGGCCTAGTCCAAGTTTAATAAGCATTTTAGTGGATCTATCAACTATAGCTAGGCCAGTTCCTTCTATTTCACTGCTGAAAGGCAAACAGAAGTGAGAAGAGCAAGACACTCATCTGATATTTCATGTTCTCTTCCCCTATGCATCAACATTTTCCCACACTTGTTTACCAGGAGTAAAAATTTCAATCTATCACCAAACCAAGACAAAAGGCTTAAAATGCAAATGACTGGTTTGAGATAATAAGGAAACTTAGTCACGATAAAGGACATCAGTTAATCACCATGTATAAATGAAATAACAGAATCATTTCCCTGTGAAACTGTGGAAAAGGATGTGAAGATCAGGCCTATTATTAGGACATTCAAAGCTTCATCTGGAGAGAAGAATGGTGGAAAAGGAAATAGAAGAGCTCACGAATGTATCTAGATAGCCTCATTTCATCTAACAGAACAGACAACTATTCTAAGAGGCAACCCTGTTTCACACAGGTCTATTTATTCTTTAAAGATCTGTATATTCTTGGGGCGCCTGGGTGGCTCAGTCGTTAAGCGTCTGCCTTCGGCTCACGTCATTAGTCCCAGGGTCCTGGGATTGAGCCCTGCATCGGGCTCCCTGCTCAGCGGGAAGCCTGCTTCTCCTTCTCCCACTCCCCCTGCTTGTGTTCCCTCTCTCCCTGTGTCTCTCTCTATCAAATAAATAAAATCTTTAAACAAAAAAAAAATCTCTATATTCTTTAAGTGTTTTATACTGTTCCAAGATAATAAACTGTTTCAAAATATTATTTTATAATCTAACTGTATTACAAGACAGGGTTTTGTTTTGTTTTTTAGGACAAGGTCTTTATAATGAGAGGGTAGCAAGTCAACTCACTCCTCCCTATCCCCCCAGGCCCAAAGTTTTCTCAAAATCATCTGAATTATACAACCACATATTTATTTGGTTGATCGTTACAAATGTGTGATCCCTGAAGTGCTACTGAAATACCTGTTAAGAGGACCAACCACATCAACAAGGTGAAAGGGAGAAAGAAACTGGAAGATGGCATTTAGCAAACATTGAGTGGAAAAGACATGGTCAAACTGTCCTATATTGGGGTGCCTCAGTCGTTGGGCGTCTGCCTTTGGCTCAGGTCATGGTCCCAGGGTCCTGGGATCGAGCCCTGCATCAGGCTCCCTGCTCCGTGGGAAGCCTGCTTCTCCCTCTCCCACTCCCCCGGCTAGTGTTTCCTCTCTTGCTGTCTCTCTCTGTGTCAAATAAATAAATAAAATCTAAAAAATATATATATATATTGTCCTGTATTAAGTGCAGTAACTGAAAAATGAAGGTTAAGAAACAGAAGAAACAGATTAGTCCACAAGGTCAGGAGAGATAGCTACATAAATATTCTGATATGAATAGAAACATTTCAAGAGACGTGTGAAACAAATTAGCAGCAATGCTGTATACTGAGCACTTAGTTCTTTCAAGTATAGAGATTAATATAATGACAACTCAAAAAAAAGTAGGTGTGAGAAATGGATCTTTTACTTCTTTTTTGTTCAGTTTTTAAATACTGAAAACCTGAACCCACTACCTACACCACTTATTTATTCACAAGCTATGAGAAGGCTGGTCTTGTTGAAAGAAAAAATGAGAATCAAAAAAAACAAGTAACAAACAAATCCTTGCTATCACCTCCCAACTGCTCACTAAATTCTAAATTCTCTAATATTCACCGAAGATATACAGAAATGGAAACCCAGCATATATAAAGATTTACCTATTTAATAACAGGTATTTATAAGAATCAGAATTGAGACCAGGGTTTTGATAAAGGTTTAATGAAGAAGGGGGGAACCAAGTTGGTCCTTGAGGGACTTTTTGAAATTGAAAGCTCTCCAGAGGTCCGAAGTTGAACCTCTACACATGCTTGTTTTGTTGGTTTTGGGGAGAAAGGAGGGAGAGAGGCACAGCTAGAGAACTAAAAGCATAACTTAATAGAAAAGTGTGAGTGGATTCCAGTGGTAAACTAGGTTGGAAAAATGGGAATGGGGGCAAGATTATAGAATACTTTGAACAAACAGCTGAAGTTAGAACAATGGAGAGTCACTGTCACTTTATGAGTAACCAGTATCAGTTTTAACAGCATAAAAAATGAAATGGAAAGGGAAGGCTAGATGCATTGAACCTACATTATGAACTACCATACCCCACATACACTATGCTGCGTGCTAGGGATACCAAAATATATATATGGCAAGACCACTGTCCTTGCATGATCAGTTTGACTAATAGGCACACTACCATGCACAATTCTACTATTGAAGTAAAAGGGACAAGGTTTTCAATCTTTACTTAATATCCAGGTAAGCAATGAACTTAAAACTCATGTTAAGCTTCTTGAATTTATAAGAGATATACTCTCTTTGTATTTATGTAAGAGATAAAAGAGACATAGAATTACAGCAGGATTTCAGATAAAAACTATTTCCTCAGTGTTCATTTTTTTGAGCTCAAAAGTTTGTAAGAGAACCAACATATTACTCACCATTACAATATTCATTCTGTATAAGCATATGATCATCTTCTGCCCATGCAGAGAAATATCGAACTACATGAGAATGCTGTCCAAGCACTGCATGAGCATATACTTCCCTCAAAGCGTTCTGCCTAGGAGAGATTTGACATTGACAGAATGGTAAATCATTTTTATCCAAGCCTAACTTGAACTAATTTATGTGAAACTTCATAAGAGAAACTTGACTTCTTTATCTATCATTATGCTGAAGGATAACTTGCTTAAGAAAAAGGGAGTTAAGACTCTGTACCAGATTTTTCTAAAGGCTTCCATTAAAGAAGAATGTTAGTTACAAAGAAGGAACCTTGCTGGCCCTAGGACTTGGGAAAAATGAAACTCCATTTTACTGTGAATTCATGGATGCTACCAAAAAAAGAAATTTAAGTTAGGTCCCAAAATCAGACTACTCATAACTTTACCAAATCCAGTAAGAATTAATGGCACAAAATGAAAAGGATCTGATTAAATTATTATAGCTTCTCAAAAGTGAGAGAATTTCAGTGCTTGATTATGTAAAACCTTAATGCTTGCAACACCATAGGGAATAAAAGAGCAAAAGACAAAATTTTTAATACATACTCATCGACAGAGCCAGCCAATGGCTTTTTTGATCGCTTAATGGCATAAATGCATCCATCCAGCCTCTTCACACACTTAAACACAGAACCAAATTCTCCAGAGCCAATTTTCTCTAGCTCATGAAATTCTGTTGTATACCGTGACTTCATATTGCTTTCAGTAATTGTAATTCTCTGTAATAAAAAAGTGTATCCATATACATAATACAAAGATATGAAAATGATTTTTTGCTATGATGCTAGCACTATGTGTGAAATTTAAAAATCATTTTATCTTATGTTTTAATGGATATTTAACATGTATATATGGTAACTTGTTAAGAAGTAGAAAATGAAATTTCAGAAACAATAAAAAGAAAATGAAAAGCTATTTACTTTAGCAGGTCTTGTTTCATCTTCGAACTCATAATCACTGGCTTCCATGTCTTCACCACAAGAACTGAAAAATATTATGTATTTTTCCATCAACAGATCTGACAGACACATCAACTAGAGATCCAAAACTTTATCTGATAGGTGTACAGTGAAATTGCATTTTAATGAATAAACAGACAAGAAAGGGCGCCTGGGTGGCTCAGTTAAACATCTGCCTTCAGCTTGAGTCATGATCCCAAGGTCCTGGGATTCAGTCCCGTGTCCAGCTCCCTGCTCAGTGGGGAGGGAGTCTGATTCTCCTTCTGCCCCTCTCCCCGCTTGTGCTTGTGTGATCTCTCTCGTGCCACACAAAAATAAATAAAATCTTAAAAAAAAACAGGTAAGAAAGCAATTATATAATCACGAGATACAGCTCAGCTGATGAAAATGCTGTCCCTGCTGAAATATGCTTATTAACTACAAGCCAACACCACCACACATATCAAAATTAAAGTCTTTCTAAATCAACTCTCTCTGCCTGCCTCATTTTTGACACCAGCAGATTTCCTACAAGCTATCTAGGCTTTTTATTCCTTCCTTTTTCACACCACTACTTTTCTACAGCTGATTACTTTCCACCTACCTCTCCTGGGAAGTGGGTGCTAGCAACAGAAAAATTTCAGAGCATAAACTTCTATGTCATTCAGATGAAATTAAATTTTGATAAGTACCACAAACCAATCTTGAGTGGTTGGGGACCAAACTGTGGAGTACTAAATAACTTACTCATTCCAATGTGTTCGCTTTCTTCTACGACATTGTCCTGAGGAATGAAGTAACACAGAATCTGGGGTAAAAGGATTAATATTCACTTGAGGAGTCTGTCGCATGTCAAATTCCCTTTTTCCTGATTTTTCTGTATCCATGAATAGAGAACCACCTCGGAGTTTAACAGAGCTGGAATCAATTCCTCGAGCTTTGGAGAGCAAACTCTAGGACAGGAAAAATAAAATTTTTAGTATCCAGGTCCTATAGACAGCCTTATCAACCCAACCTTCAACAAGCCTTTCACAGGTCTGATAGTGTAGATCAAAGCAACACACAAGCCTCTGTCACATCTCCAGCAAAAACAGTGGTTAACTATAGCAGTCTGAAAAGTGGATACCAACCACCTTTTCTGAAAAAGCCACATAAAATAGGTCTCTGACCCTAAAAAGAGTAGGAATGCAGACTAAAATTAAGTTTATTCTGGAGTCCAGAAGTTAACAAAAACCTTTCATTCCATCTAAAAATAGAAAGCAGTCAGGGAGCCCCATAAAAGCTCCCTTCCCCCCATCCAAATAGGGCTTTGAAAACCACCTCCGGCGGACTCCTCCCCTCACTTCCAGAGGGATCATGCCTTGGGCAAGTCCCTAATAAACAGTAACGCTCAAAAAACACTTCTTCGTGAGGTTTACGACCAATGGCACTGAAAGGGACCCAAAAAGGTGCATTTTCTGTATTAGTTTTATAAACGCGATACTTGTCTCAATTTCGTGACGGGTCTGTTTTTAAAATCTGGCTACATCTAACGTTCCAGAAGTAGTAATCTGCGTACTCACTTGCTTCTCAACAAACAGGTGCTGAACACCTCCTTCACTGTGATCTGTTATCAGCAATATGAAAGCACAAGGGTCCAAGAAACCCCACCAATGCTGGCTTTTAACCGTTGGATGTCCCTAATCGTTACACTTAGGCTGACCACACATGGGCACTGCAAACCCAAGGGTGTAAACAAACGCTTACCCAATAAATAGCATGTACGGACAGTAGCTGAGTTAAGGAGTGTTTAAGACTGGAAACGCTTGGAAGGCCAGCCTTTTCTCCCAAGTCGAAGCGCAGTCCCCCTCCATACCTCAAACTTAACCCCTTAAGGCCATATGACACGAAACGATAAGCACATGAAGTTTTTTTTTTTAACCGAACTCCTGCGTGCGCCGCCCAAATTACAGGGCCCATCACTGCGTTTAAAAGGCACCATATGGCTGCAGGGCTCAGGAGTGTCAGGTGGCCGGGCCAGCCCACTCCAAGCATCCTTCCAAACCACGTTATCAGTGCCACACTCCGGGCTGACACGGTCGGGAAGGTCCCGACTCGACGGGCGTGAAATCACCAGCCACCTGGACGGCGCCGATCAGCCCCTTTGAAAGATGAAGAAGTTCCAGAAGAGGCCCATTGTTCAGTTACATAATCTTAACGGACAACTTCTGGGCAGGGCCAAAAAGAGGGGCTGCCAACTTTTTGTTGCGGCTCCGGGGAACGAGTGGGGGTGCGGCCGGGCGGTTATGTAACCGAACCCGGGCAGCGCCGCGCTCGGCTCCCGGCGCCGCGGCCTTTTTAAAAGGCTGGGCGGGCGCGGGCTCGGGGCGCCCGGGCCCCGCGTCCTCTCACCTTGGGCGTGTGCGGCGTGTCGAAGAGCCGCAGCTTGCGGAAGGTCTTGTGCGGCGGGGTGCCGGGGTGATCCGGCAGCGGCGAGCAGGGGCCCTCGCTAGCCCGGCGCGCCCCGCAGCGGCGCGGGGACGCGTCCCCCGCGCCGCCGCAGCGCACCGGCGAGAACGAGCTGCCCAGGAAGTAGGCGGCTGCCGGCGACTTCACCGGCGACGAGGAGCCGAAACCCTCCTCCTCCCACGAGTCGCCCTCGGCCCCGCCGCCCTGCACGTCGGCGCTGGGACAGGCGCCCCGCAGCAACATGTCCTCCTCCAGCTCCCCGGGGCTGCCGGGGGCCGGGCCGGGCGAGCGGCGGCGCTCGGGCCCGGGCTCTGTGGGGCTACGCGCAGGCGGCAGCGGCGAGTCGGGCTCTTGAAAGGCCGAGTCCTCTCCCGTGCTGTGGCCACTGCCCTCCTCCTCTTCCTCCTCCTCCTCCTCCTCACAGTCGCTGCAGGGCGAGAAGATCAGCTTCTGCCTCAAAGTGCAGGAAGCCCCAGGACGGCGGGGCGGCGGCGGCTGCTGCCGGCTCAGGAAGCTCATCGCGCCCCTGGGGCCGGGGCCGGGGCCGGGGCCGGGGCCGAGGCCGAGGACCGGAGAGCCGGAGCCCGCGGAGTCCAGGACGCGGACGGCCCAGGGGGCGGGTCCGCCACGTGCGACTGGGCGCGCCTGGTCGCCGCGGCGGCGGACCTGCGCGGTGGCGGGCTGCGGCTCTGGAGCGCTCGGGGCTGCGGGCGGCGGTGGCGGCGGCGGCGGCGGCGTGGACTGTCCAGCAGAGGCGGGGCGGCGTAGGCACCGAGGCTGGGGTCTCCGCAGGTCCACCCGCAGGTTCGGGCTCCGCGGCTTCCCGCGACCGTTAACCACGTGAGTGCCCGACCCACCAATCCCCGCCCAGCCCCGGGTTTGAAAAAAAAGGAGGGCGCGACGTAGCCCGCGGGGGAGGGATCAACTACGCGATTTTGGCGCGAACCCGCTGGCTCCGCCCCCCACCCCCCCGCCCTCCGCAGCCAGGCTTGGGCGGGCGCGGCGCCGCGGGCCTATGAGGGAGCCGGACTTCTGGGAGCCGAGCCGGGCGCCGCCCGGTCGGGGCCGGGCGGGAGAGCCGAGGCGGCCTTCTGGGAGGGGCGAGGGGGGCCGGGCTCGGCTGCGCCCAGCCGAACGCCAGCCTGGAAGCGACTTGCTCGCGGTCCCTCAGGCGCCCTGGGGTCTGAGGTGGGGGCTGGGGAACACTTCTGGTCCTCTCCCGGTCGGAGCGAGCGGGGAACCACCGTGGCCCTCGGGCTCAGCCCCGGGAGTGCGGCCTCCGGTCCCGCGTCCCTTTGGTGCGGGCCACTGGGGCGTTGTGGGCGTGGCTGTGGGCAGTCACGTTCTCCCGTAGAGGTTTGAGCCGGAAATGGTGACTCGGGCCTCAGGAGCTTTGCGATGTGAGCGGGTTGCTTAGGGTGGACCCCGAAATCAGCAAGGCCAACACACGAGAACTCGCGGCGGGGACACCGGCCTTGGGGAAGGCCTCTGGAGCCTCAGTTTCCCCCCAGGGTGGCTGTTAGGGTCGGGTGTGCCCCCTGCGAGGTGAGCTTCGCCTAGGCCGTGGCCCCTTTGCAGTCCCCTCCCCCCGCCCCCGACTTGTCCAGAGTAAACAGCAGCAGCACCACAATCGGCCCCAGCACGAAACCCAAGTGCCCACCACGCAGCCGCGGTGTTTATATTTGTTTGCCAGCACGTGGGCAAGCGTTGGCAAAAGAGATTGGCATAGCTCACTGCAAACTTTAAACGCAAATTGAGAAAAAAATTCCTCCAGTGCTCCGTCAAATAGCGATTTTATCTGCCCTTTATCGTCGCACAGACAAGTTTCTTGTAATTTTTCAGTTGTAAATAACCCCGTGATGAATATTCTAACTTCTCGTGTTTTTTCCCTGTGTTGTTTGAGGGTTTGGGGTGTTTTTTTTTTTTAAAGAGATTCCTAGAAGTGAGAATTACTGGGTCAAAGAATATAAACTGCCAAACTGACCTCCAGAAAAAAAACAATTTACATTCTCATTAGCATTGGGTTAGAGTACACCGCTCATGAATTCTGGACGTAAGTGGATATTTAATGTTTGTTAATGTAATTTTGTTGTTTTGATACATATCGTCGGACAATTTTCATGTGCCAGTGGCCACTTATATTTTTCTATTGTATTTTTCTTATTGTAGCGCTCTATGAATATTAACACTTTGCCATATATGTTGTTCTAACACTTTTCAAAGGCTAAACTCAAGCTGGATTTTTAATAATGGAACCACATTTTAACACTTACCACATGGGAAATTCCCTGAGATCATATAACTGAAGATGCAGTGAAGGGTAAACAGCTGTCTTCTCCAGACATTTGCTGATATATGTGTCTTTCTTGCATGTTAATCCAAATCCAGTGTTAAGCTCTTGCAAGACAGGAATTCTACCCTTTTGTATGTTTCAAGGAGAGGCATTCTCTAGTTCCTGGTGGCCAAAGCCAAGGAATGGTTTTTAGCACTCTTCCTCCAACACCACCTCTCCGCTCCTGATGGCAAATATAATTCTTTGATATGCATAGTTGGCCACATTGAGTTGATTTTCTCAATTTCATGTGAGTGTAAATAAAAATAACTTGAGAAAAGGACTTATTATTGATCTTTAACATGAGTTGTATGTAAAAATAGTGTTTCCTAAGTAAACTTTAAAGTCCTGTAGATAACCTCTCCCCAACTAGAATGTTGTTCCTAAGCCCCTCCTATATAGGAATTCTGTATCCTCTGTTGCTATCCATGCAAGCTCACATCCTCTCCCCCTTCACTCTTTCATAATACCCTGCTTTATTCCCCTAACAGGCTTATATCTATCTCAAAGTATGTTGATTGTTTGTTCACTACTATCCCCTTCTAGAAAATGAGTTCCCTGAGTGTAGGGACCTTTTCTATTTCATTTATTGCAGTGTTCTAACGTGGCTTAGGCCCTCAATATCTTCTGAATGATAATAGAGCTCTTATTTAAATATTTGTTGGTTTATTTTTCTCTCTCAGTATAAATTCAAGTGGTACAGAAGCCTCCTAGCCACCCCTGTATAGTCTGTTCTTGGAGGTAAACAGTCTTTTAACGTTGTTTTTTTTTTTCAACTCTTAACTATGCCACCTGTCTGCTTCCCTGAACTGGGAGGTCCTTGAAGTAGGCTAGGCTGGAGCAGAAGGGCTTGGCTTCTGAACGGGAAGGGAAGAGTTCTTAGTACACAGCCCCAGTACTTCGAATTCTTGGCACCCAGGTCCACCCCCAGAATGGGAGAGGTAAATTTCCACTGAATGTATAGAATGACTGGAGGAAAGAAGCAATTTCTTTGAAAGTTGGAAACAAGACTTAGTGGGAGAACCATTTCTTCTGTAAAGCCTTTCCTTAACTTTCTCCACTTCTAGGTAAAAGAGACACTCTGTGCACCAGGTTTTCCACCACACCTGTAATGGACTATGTAAACACTCTTTCTTTACTTGTCTGGCTTCCTTTCCACCCAGGGCTGAGATCAAGTTTTATTTGTCTTTAGAGCTCCAGCAACCAGCAGTGTGCCTTGGCCCCTGAGAAGGTACTTAAATAAATGTTTCTGGAATAAAAATCTCCGTGTTCTTTAAAAAAAAGGTACCAAAATGAGTAAGAAACCCAGGCCCTACCTCCTCCAGCTGACAACATGGCACAGTGTTATGGTTTAACTGCAGCAGTGTCCTAACTGAAATTCTAAATGATTGTTCTGATTTTTTAAATTTTATGCTCCTCCAAGTACAGGACTCACGGTACTGGAGGGATGGGGTTACGCCCACCTGCCCCAGGGCATATCTAATTCAAATTTCCTGTTCTTTCTCTACCCAGTGTTGTTCCTAACTGTAATGTTGCTAGGCAACTTCTGCAGAATCCACAGTTTGTGGTAATGTTGTAATAACTGAGTAAAAATCTTGCCTCTAGGTGTTGGGAGAACAAACTTAACCAGTTTATCCCTTTAGACCGATGACTTAGCAAGTATAAGGCTTTAATACCACTATTGTTGGCTCATTCACCTTCCTTAGCAGCAAAATAAGATTCCTGCACTGAAGATTTATAATTGAGATTCCTAAATCACCCTCTCAAATACTTTTCATACATACAAGCACATAAATACATATGCATATTCTTATTAACATAAGCCTGTACTTTTGAATGAAAGATACTTCAGAACTAGTAACTAATTTGTCAGTCTGGAGGAGTATTTCATAAGAATAGCTAGGCTTTACCCAAAGCTGAATTTTTTCTAGTTTATGCTTTTGATTCTGGAGGAATAATAACTCTCTCTAAACAAGAGCCTGCTCTGATAGATTTCTAATTTTTTTTAAGATTGTATTTATTTATTCTAGAGAGAAAGAGGGAGTATGTGGGAGCTGGGAGAAGGGGCACATGGGGGGAGAGAGAATCTCAAGTAGGCTCCGAGTGCTGAGCGTGGATCCCGACCTGGGGCTCGATCTCACAACCCTGAGATCATGACCTGAGCCAAAACCAAGAATCAGACACTCAACTAACTGAGCCATCCAGGGATCCCTAGATTTCTATTTTTTTTTTTTTTTTTTAAAGAAGCCAGGGGCTACCGGGTGGCTCAGTTGGTTAGGTGTCTGCCTTCGGCTCAGGTCATGATCTCAGGGTCCTGAGATGGAGCCCTGTGTCGGGCTCCCTGCTCAGCGGGGAGTCTGCTTCTCCCTCTCCCCCTGCCCCCAACTTGTGCTCTCTCTCTCTCACTCTCTCTGTCTCAAATAAATAAAAAATAAAATCTTAAATGTGAGACTAATGTTGTCCCTTACAAATAGTGCTCAATAAATGTTATGTGTTGCTTTTAATTATAGCAATGTTGTTTTGAGAATAATCCATACTTGTCAATGGCTTTATAGTCAGTAAATGCAACATGTAACTCCTGATGTCCCCAAAATAAGTTTGCTTAATATGGATAGACAGTTGAGATTGTGTACAACCGGTGAGGATAATCAAATCAGGACAGAAATAGTACAGTTGACCCTTGAACAACATGGGGGTGAGAGGCGCTGACCCTCGCAGTTAAGAATCAGGTAACTTTTGACTCCCCCAAAACTTAATACTAATAACCTACTGTTGACTAGAAGCCTTACTGATAACATAAACAATTAACTCATATTTTGTATGCTATATGTATTGTATATCATCTTCTTACAATAAAGTAAGCTGGAGTAAAGAAAATGTTATAAGAAAAGTGTAAGGGGGAGCCTGGGTGGCTCAGTTGGTTAAGCGACTGCCTTCGGCTCAGGTCATGATCCTGGAGTCCGGGGATCGAGCCCCACATCGGGCTCCCTGCTCTTCAGGGAACCTGCTTCTCCCTCTCCCTCTGCCTGCCACTCCCCGCTGCTTGTGCTCTTTCTATCAAATAAATAAATAAAACCTTTAAAAAAAGAGAAAAATAATTATAAGGGGAAATACATTTCCAGTAGTGTCCTGTATTAATAGAAAAAATCCATGTATTAGTGGACCTGCCCAATTCAAACCCATGTGGTTCAAGGGTCAACTGTATTGATATAATAAGAACTTGAGAAGTATAGTTCAGGAAAAGTGGCCAGTTGAAAGCTTGTATTTTAATTAAATAAACATTATTTCTTGTCATGCCTAATTAATCTTTAAAGACTACTAGCATACTATTTCTGTTTATCCTTTTAACGTTTATATCAGGTAGATCAAGGGCACATATCATTATATCCTTTAGGTACGGATTGTATCAGTTATATGGGCTGCATACAAAAAGTCTGAGGACCTAAGATTCTCATTCAGTTTTTGCTTAGGGTCTTCAGCTACGAGAGACCATGCTGGGGTACTCAAAGTTGTATCTGCACATGTACAAAATCTTGGCTGTAACCAGCCCTATTAAAGGGCTACCAGTTATCTTAGCCCTTACCCAGGCCTCAGAATCTTGAAAGACTTGATAGTCCACGGCAATCAGCCAGGCCTGTGGCAATGATACTAACTTCAAGACTTTTCCCAAGAGAAAATACTGACCACTGACTATATCATTCCTAGATGAGAAAGGAGTTCTGTTAACATATTTAAAACTATAGTTCTGTAAAGCAGTTAGCCAAAACATCACGCTTCCTCTTTGATATTTTAAAAATCCTTTCTACTGTGATGGAACCGAGTAGTCACGTTTTCTCCAATAATACTTTTTTTCCCTTTACAGAAGTACAAAGGGCTGTTCTTCCCCTACATTCTCAGTGAGTTTCAATAACTGAAAAGGTCACTTCACAGAAATTTTATAAACAGGAGGAATCATGGGTACACAACAGAATGCTGGCACTCAATACACATTTGAGTAATTGATTAATTGCCTCTCCTCTTGGGTTAGTGACATTCTCAGGAAATGACCTGGATGACCACAAGGACTGCTGTTGTTTGCTGACCACACTGTGATTATTTTAAGCCAGCTTTGTTCTTATTACTGCAGCACAAAAGATGTGATGACTCTTCTTCAGGGAGTCAAGGGGTTCAGTCCCATTAGGAGAGGGAAAGGAGATAAGGCAGACATCCCATGCTGCTCTTTTGTGTAGCAACAGGAGTGTGTTTGGGTATTGCTGTTCTGATGACTCAGTAGTGAGTCAGTTTTAAAGTTCTGTAAAAGGCCTTGTTCAGCTCAGACAGGATTAAGATGAGCTCATTTGGTAGCTCATTGGGTGACGACTGGGTGGTGTGTGATCCAATCAGCTGATGGGTGGTGTAAATATGTACGTGGAAAAAACATATTAGCAAGGATGAAACTAGTTCCTGAATGCAGAAATCAACTGTCCTTGGCATCTGTTGAGTGCCTACTGTGTTCAAGCACCATCCATGTCCTACCCATACCCCATTACCTTTATAAATGTTAGAATATAGAAGTGTGTTAAGTGCTACAAAGATCTGGGATGCCTGAAGGAGCTGGGAAAGGTAGGTATGTTGCCAGCTACATGGTAGGCACTGAGCCAGATGCTTTACATGTTTATCTTATTTAATCTTTAAAGGAAACCTTTGAAAGAGGTATTTTATTCACATTTTACAGAAGAAAATGAAAGCCAGATAGGTTCAATGCCTACATATACAGCCATAGGGCTAGGACTACTGAGACTATATTCCTGAGACTGTATTACTACTGGCTTAAGGACTAGCTCTTTCTACCCCAGCAAGTGTGGGGTAAGGTGAGGGTGAGAACTAATTGGAAGACTTGATGAAGGCAAGGTCGCTGGACCCAGCTGGTGTGCCAGACAGTTATGCAGTGTGATGCTAGAATCCGGACAGCAGGGCATGCACCTCGTCTGGTGTGAATGAAGGAAGTGGGATCTGACTTGCACCTTTTAATTTTTTGTTTTACCGTAAAACCCACATGTGTTTTAAATTCTAAAATCAAGAGGAAACATTACAAAGATTAATATTATCTTATGTTGTGGAGGGTGCAGGGAAATGCATTCTTGTCTACTATGGAGGGTGGGTGTAAATTGGCACCATTTTTATTTATTTATTTTTTAAGATTTTATTTATTCATTTGACACAGAGAGATAGTGAGAGGAGGAACACAAGCAGGGGGAGTGGGAGAGGGAGAAGCAGGCTTCCCGCTGAGCAGGGAGCCCAACATGGGGCTCTTGATCCCAGGACCCCGGGGATCATGACTTGAGACGAAGGTAGATACTTAACGACTGAGCCAGCCGCGTAGGCGCCCCAAATTGGCACCATTTTTGGAAGATTGTATTGGGGGTGCCTGGGTGGTTCAGTTAAGCATCCAACTCTTTTTTTTTTTTTTAAGATTTTATTTATGAGAGAATGAGAGAGCACATGCATGAGCAAGGTGGGGGACAGAGGAGGGGATGGGGAAGGGGGTGGGGAGGGGGTGAGCAAGGGAAAGAGGACGGGGAGGGGGTTGGGGAGGAGGAAGCAGGCTCTCCGCTGAACAGGAAGCCTGATGTGGGGCTCCATCCCAGGACCCTGGGATCATGACCTGAGCTGAAGGCAGACGCTTAATGACTGAACCACGCAGCTGCCCCTAAGCATCCAACTCTTGATTTCTGCTCAGGGTCGTGAGATGGAGCCCTGCCTCGGGCTCCACACTCAGTGGAGAGTCCGTCTGAGGTTTTCTCTCTCTCTCTGCCTCTCCCCACCCTCTCTCTCAAATAATCAATCAATCAATCAATCTTTAAAAAAAGATTGTTTGGATGATTTCTGTTATAATTTAAGTATTTGTACTCTTTGACCTAGCAATTCTACTGAAATGTTCACATAGATTTGCAAAAAATATGTAAAAGAATGTTTATCGCTGTATTAGTTCATTCAGTGAATACCTGGGGAGATTCTCCTATGAACTTGGCACATCTCTGGGCACACAGCAGTGAAACAAAACAAAGTCCTTACTTTCATGAAACTTTTGAGGCCTTTGGTGGAGATACACAATGCATAAGTAAACAAACATACAAAAAAATATCAAGGGGGGCGCCTGGGTGGCTCAGCCGGTTGGGCGTCTGCCTTCGGCTCAGGTCATGATCCCGGGGTACTGGGATCGAGCCCCGCATCGGGCTCCCTGCTCCGCGGGAAGCCTGCTTCTCCCTCTCCCACTCCCCCTGCTCGTGTTCCCTCTCTCGCTGTGTCTCTCTCTGTCAGATAAATAAAATCTTTAAAAAAAAACAACTCAGGTCTTAAAAAAAAAAAGTATTAAGGGATTAAGAAGTGGTAGAGGGTTGGAGGGAAATGCTATTTTATATCGTGTGATCTGGGAAAGGCTTTCTGAGGAGGCGGTATTTGAGCAGGAACCTGCATGAAGTGAGGGAATCAGCCAAATGACATCTGAAGGACGTATATTCTAGGCATTGTTTATAATACCACAGATTGGAGGCCACCCAAATGTCTGTCAAATACTGAGTAACCACAGTCTGCAAAATAATGAGAGAGCTATATGTACAGAATGAAAAGATAAGATAAAATGAAAAAAATGTTACAAACACTTTAAAAAAGTATCCTGAGCAAATATATTTATCACAGGGAAGACATCTAGGGAAATACACAAAAGTGTCAAAAAAAAAACCAAATCCCCAAAACCTGTTAAGAGTTGTTGTATGGATTGAATGAGAGAACAGGTCGAAGTGCCGAGGTGCCAACTAAAGAGAGCCTAACCAGAGACTAAGGAAGGTCTTAGTACTATCTCTAAAACAGGATGGAGCACACAAGTCCTGAAGACCCATACCTTTGCTTTTTTTTTTTTTTTTAATCCGGGGAGAGCGTGACTGCAGTCCCCCGCTACCACAAATTATGCAGTGGAGTTTCCCACATCTGGGGAAATCACAGGGGTCGGCACAACCGGAGTGCAATAGATAAGCCTTGCCCTGGGACAACCACCTTCGTGATCATGGTACCTCCCCTGCCAGGTAAGTACACCTTTGCCTTTTCTGATGTACTGGGAACTCTCCTCTCAGGTCGCTGATGTCTGAGCCCTTCTTCCCTCTCCTTGCTTCCCCACATCCCTATCCCCCTCCTCTCATTTTGCTCTTGAGAATGGAGCCTGTGCTTCTGTTTTCTTAGCCCAGTTACTCCGTCTGGACTGGTCTTCCTTCTCCTCTCAGACAAGCAACCTTGTGCTCGGGCTGCAGTCTGTGCTGAGGTGCCGATAAGGAAGAGGGCTTCCAGGATCCCTCTGATTTAGTATAGCGTCATTTCTAAGGGCAGAATAAAAAGGCTTCATCCATGGTTACCAGCTTCAGAATCTAACTGAGCCAGGAGCTCAGTTTGGGGGATGGGGTTGCTCACACACACTCCTGCCAGTGTTGACCAAACCACCTGCGTGGCCATCAGGGTTTCTGTCGTTGTTGTTTTGTTTTGTTTATTTTATTTATTTATTTGACAGACAGCAAGAGAGGAAACAAAAGCAGGGGCAGTGGGAGAGGGAGAAGCAGGCTTCCTGCTGAGCAGGGAGCCTGATGATGTGGGATTCGATCCTGGGACTCGATCCTGGGACTCAATCCTGGGACTCCAGGATCATGACCTGAGCCGAAGGCAGACACTTAACGACTAAGCCACCCAGGCGCCCCACCATCAAGGTTTCTGAAGTAGTTAAGCCTTAAGTGTTTGGTGCCCACCCTTACTCCCACCTACCACTACCAAACTCCGCTGACTTCCCCGGGCCCTCCGTATGCTTGTCAACCAATTGTTAGAAACAATAGAGCACAGAAAAATGGCCAGGATAAAATAAATACTCAAAAAAATGTTCTATGGCCTTACACAGTTTCTAACAATTTTTCTGTTGATTATTTTGGATTTCTAGGTAAATAATCATATAATTAATAATGCTTCTAGTATTTATGACTTATTTTGTTGTATTGTCTAATTGTATTAAGTAGCACTTCCAGAACAACATTAAATCATAGGAGAAGTGCTCAGTGGACAGTTAGCTCAGTTGGTTAGAGCACGGTGCTAATAATCGGAGAGGTGGTGAGTAGCCTTGTCTTGCTCCTGACTTTAATGGGAATATTAAGAGTAATACTGCTGGGGGCGTCTGGCTGTCTCAGTCAGTAGAGCATGCAACCCTTGATCCAGAGCTGTGAGTTCAAGTACCATGCTGGGTGTAGAGCTTACCTTAAATAAATAAATAAATACATACATACATATCAAAAAAAGTAATACTGGTTGATTAATGTATACATGTGTGTGAGTACACATGCACGGATTTCTACCTGTGTTATGTTAAAGAAGTATACTTTTCCTTTTATCAGAATATTTGTGAGGAATGAATATTAAATGATATCAAATTTTTAGCATCTCTTAATTATTCTGCTTTTTCCACTTTTGATATATCTATATTGTGAATTGGATTAATGGATTTCCTTATACCACTCTATCCTTCCTGAAATAAATAAATGTGTTTAGTCATTTTCAAAATATCCTGCAAAGTTATGTTCATTTATTTCTTTAGGCATTTTACATCTGTATTTATAAATAGAACTGGTCCCTAGTTTTTCTATTGTACAATCTTTATAAGATTTTGGCTTCACGAAACACTGGGCTGTTTACTTCTTTCTCTATGTTTTGGAATAGCTTTAATAGTAAGAACGATTGATTTCCTGAAAGTTTGAAAGAAGTTGTTAATGAACGTATCTAGGTTCTGCTTTTTTTTTCTTCTTTTTTTTTTGGAGGTGTATAGCTTTTGACAGCTTTTGCCCGTGATTATTTATGTTTAGATTTTCTCCTTTCTTTGAGTCCATATTGGTAATTTATATTTCCTGACTATTACCCATTTCATTCAGATTTTATATTTTATTTTTTATTTTTATTCTTTAAAGATTTTATTTATTCATTTGAGACAGAGAGATACAAAGAGAGAGAGTGCATATGAGCAGGGGGAGAGGGGGAGGGAGAAGCAGACTCCCCACTGAGCTGGGAGCCCGGGGCTTCATCCCAGGACCTGGAGATCATGACCTGAGCCATAGGCAGACACTCAACCATCTGAGCCACCCAGACACCCCTCACTTAGATTTTAAATTACATTAGCATAAGATCGGACAAATGCTGACTGAATCCTCCTCTCCCTTTTATTTCTCATCATTTCTTCTGTACCCATCTGTAAACCCGTTCTCATTCCTAATTTGTGCATTTCTGTTTTGTCTGTCTTTTTTATTATGTTAGCTGGTGGCTTATCAGTTTTGTTGTTTGCTTCCTCCCAACCCAAAGAACTCTAGATCTTAGATTTATTCATCAGTTATGTCATTTTTCTGATTTTGAAATCGTTCACTCTGCTTGTGTCTTTGTTAACTCCTTTCACTTTCTTTGCATTTCGCTTTGTGCTGTGGCTTTTTTTTTTCCCCTTCTAATTTCCTGTGTTGTCTGCTTTCTTAATGAACTTTTCTTTTTTCTTATTTAGTAACAGAAGTGTTTAAGGTGATAAGGTTAAGGTTTACGGCCATCCATTTTCTTGTGAATACAACTCTGGCGGCATTTAGTAAATAGTTTCACTGAGTTATTTTTAAAATAGTCTATAATTCAGTTTTTAACATTTTGTGTTGAAGTATCATATACTTACAGAAAGGCAAACATACCAACATATGTAAAGTTTAGTGAATATTCACAAATTCAACACCCAGATTAAGAAACAGAATATTAACAGTACCCAGGACCACTACATAATTTACAGGGCCCTGTGAGAAATGGGAATGTAATGTTCACATTTATTAAGAACTGTAAGATGTGTGACAGCAGAACATTAAAGCCACTGTGGGATCTTTCTTTCTTTCTTTTTTTTTTTTTTTTTAAAGATTTTATTTATTCGTCAGAGAGAGAGAGAGCACAAGCAGGGGGACTGGGAGAGGGAGAAGCAGGCTTCCCGCTGAGCAAGGAGCCCAATGCGGGACTAGATCCCAGGACCCTGCGATCATGACCCGAGCCAAAGGCAGCACCTTAACTGACTGAGCCACCCAGGCGTCCCTCACCTTGGGATCTTTCTAAATGCAGGGTCCTGTGCTCACACTCACGAAGCTGGCCCTGCCAGCATGCGTCTGGGCTCTCTACCCATCCCTGACCCACCTCCCTGCCAAGGCTGTCCACTCTCCTGACTTCAGGCAGCAAGAATAGCTTTGCCTGTACTCTTCTGCGTCCAGCTCCTACTGCTCAGCATTATCTTTGTGAGGATCATCCATATTTTCACATGTAGTTGAAGTCCATACATTTTCACTGCTATATGGTTAAAACGAGTCTGTAACTCAGTTTTGATCTATCAGTGATTGAAGAATTGTTTAGGAGAACTTGAAAACTTTTCCTAGTTTGAGTACATCAGGCTGACTAAGGACCAACTGCCTAGTTTCAGGCTCTTTTTCTTCTAAATGAGTGGGTCCTGACTCACAGAACATACTGTATGAGTAAGAGGGGCACCTGGGTGGCTCAGTCAGTTAAACATCCGACTCTTGATTTCGGCTCAGGTCATGATCTCAGGGTCCTAGGATCGAGCCCCTTATCAGACTTCACGCTCAGTCTGCTTGAGATTCTCTCCCTCTCCCTATATTCCTCTCCCTGCTCATACTCTTGCTCTCTCAAAATTAATTAATTAAAAAAACATATAGTGTGAATAAGAAACAGTGAGCTTTATTCCTTCCTCATGTTCTTCTGATACACAATGAAGAAGAAAGAAGAAGTTAACCAAAGTTCAAGGCAACAGCTTTTTTAACCTGTCCAGGCAGAGGTGTTTTTTTTTTAATTTCGCCAGAGTAGTAGCACAACGGATTGTAGACAAAGGGACTGAGCTCGTGTTGTCAGCCTGTGAGTTGCCAAGGAAACTGGAAAGAAATTTGGTCCTTCTTTGTCAGGTCAGGGAAAGCACCGTGCTTCTCTCACGGATCCAAACAGTAAGGCCGTGTGCATGGCCATTACCTCAGGCTATCCTGGAGCAGTGACCACTGGGCCCTTTCTGTATATGGGGGCAACTGGCTACAGTTCTGACATTGAGAATGGCTGGATATTCAGGGATGAGACCAGATAAGTAGTCCACTGGTCCTTAAAAGATGTATCACTAGGGGCACTTGGGGGGCGCAGGCAGCTAAACATCCAGCTCTTGGTTTCAGCTCAGGTCGTGATCTCAGGGTCGTGAGATGGAGCCCTGGGTCAGGCTCTGCACTGAGCAGGGAGTCTGCTTAAGACTCTCTCATTCCTCCTCTGCCTCTCCCCCTTCCCGCTCTCTCTCTCTCTCAAATAAATAAATAAAAATGTATTGCTAAAAGCCAGTCACACTTTTACATTTCAAACCTAATGTTGAAGGCTAAGTTCAAACTATTTTACTATAATCAACTTGCACCACCAACCTTATATTTAACGAAGGCCTATAGCTCAAATTTGGTGACCAAACATAGACAATCTTTTTAACAAAGTGCTATAGGTGGAAGGCCTATCGTTGAGATTCTTTCTTGAAAGTGAACAATTTTATTTATTTTTAGATAATAAAAAGCTCGTAATACAAAATTCAAAAGGCACAGAAAGGTATGGTCAAAGGTGAGCCTCCCTTTCACCCCCAGCTTCTAGCCTGTTCCTCAGGGGCAACCAACATTATTGTTTTCTTGTATCTCCTTTCAGAAGTGGCCTATGCAAATATACGTAATCTTTTAAATATTTGTATAAGAACTTGTAGCATATTATGCATACTGTTCTGCACCTTGCTTTTTCACTTACTGTTTCTTGGATGTTGTTTCATGTTAATACATATAGGACTAGTCCGCTCATTCTTTTTGTTTTTTAAGTTTATTATTATTTTTTTAGTAATCTCTACACCCCACATGGGGCTCGAACTCATGACTCTGAGATCAAGAGTCATTCGTTCCACTGAGCTAGCCAGGTGCCCCCACATTCTTTTTAAAGCCTGCATAGTATTCCATTGTCTAGATGAAGCATAATTTTTTTTAAAAAAGTTTCTTTTAACAACTTTATTGAAGTAAATTTACATACCATAACATTCATCTATTGAAAGTATACAATTCAAAAAAAAAAAAAAGAAAGTATACAATTCAATGATTTTTAGTGAATTTATAGTTATGTGACCCTCATCACAATCCAGTTTTAGAACATTTCTATCACCCCAAAAAGTTTCCTTATGCCTATAATTTATCTTTTAATCATTTAATTAAACTTCGTTTTTCCTTCTCAGTAATTCATTTTAACATTTACTGGGGTCATGATCTTTTGTTTTACAACACTGGAGAGGATTTGGAATGGTGACGATGTGTTAGGAGAGCATTTCAAACCTTATATAGTATTGCTCCTCTTTTATTTTTTTTAATTTTTAATTTTTTTAGATTTTATTTATTTGACAGAGAGAGACACAGTGAGAGAGGGAATACAAGCAGGGGGAGTGGGAGAGGGCACCCCAGGAAATAGAAGTTTTGTTTGTGCTGTATATTCTAGTGTGATATTTTCCATTCTGGGGCATGAGCTATGGACAGCCTTACATCTGAAGCAAGAGAGTACCAAGTAGAATGGAGGAAAGATGCAGAACCACAGCCACGGACCATCTGGTGATATTTTCACACTCTGGACCACGTGATGACAGTGCTACGGCCTGTTCTCCTGCAGGTAAGTATCCTCCTGCCGCCATCTTCCATTGCATGTATGTATGCTGACTGTGGGCTATGAGTGGAACAAGACACACACATGCTCTGATCTGCCCTGGTGACAATCAGCTAGATGCAGGGGACCCGCCCAAGACAGTGTGTTAGTAAACACCTGACCTCTGTGCACTTCTCTCAGGGCGGTCTGTAGCCACTATAACTTAGCTACTGGTTATCATGACCGGCCACCTTCTGGAGGGAGTGATGCTTGCCCGTTGTCTCCAACCCATCTATTGTTCTTTTTTTTTTTTAAAGACTTTATTTATTTATTTTATCAGAGAGAGAGAGAGCACGAGCAGGGGGAGGGGCAGAGGGAGAAGCAGGCTCCCCGCTGAGCAGGGAGCCCGACGGACGCGGGACTCAACCCCAGGACTCTGGGATCATGACCGGAGCCGAAGGCAGATGCTTAACCGACTGAGGCACCCAGGCACCGCCAACCCATCTATTGTTCTTGAGACTACTCATTTTGGGTGCACTTGGCTGGCTCAGTTGGAAGAGCTTATGACTCTTGATCTCACAGTTGTGAGTTCGAGCCCCATGTTGGGTGTAGAGATTACTTAAAAATAAATACACTTAAAAAAAAAGATTACTCATTTTTGGTGAAGAAAGAGTGAAAGCAAGCAGCTCACTGGCAAAGCGTTCAGGATCTCCTACATCTCACTCTCCAAATTCACAGCGGCCTTGAATGAAAAGGAGAATTGCTACTCTTTAAAAGAGAGGAGCATGGGGCACCTGGGTGACTCAGTCGTTAAGCGTCTGCCTTTGGCTCGGGTCAGGATCCCAGGGTCCTGGGATTGAGCCCCACATCAGGCTCCCTGCTCTGCGGGAAGCCTGCTTCTCCCTTTCCCACTCACCCTGCTTGTGTTCCCTCTCTCACTGTGTCTCTCTCTGTCAAATAAATAAAACCTTAAAAAAAAAAAGATCCTTAATTTAATCACATCTGAAAAATCCCTTTCACCATAAAAAAAATAACACAGATTCTGAGGATTAAGACATGGATATATTTGGGGCCATTGGTTAGCCTACCAATACCTGTGACCAGTCCACCCCAGGACCTCCTGCTCAGAAGCATCCCACTCAATGCTGAGGCTTGGAGGAGCCTAATAGAGCAAGACTCTCCCATAATTTATCTAAGTAGCTCTCCATTAAGCTGTTTTCAAATTTTTCCTTTATGAGCAATGTTGCTTTGAGTATTCTTGACATCACTTCTCCATATGTGAGTATATCCTTAGGATACATTATTAGGAGTAGAATTGCTGGGTCAAAGAATATGGGCACTTTAACCTATTTCCCTATGTTCTTGCTGACAACAGATCAACTTTTTTTTTTTTAAAGATTTTATTTATTTATTCATGAGAGACAGAGAGAGAGAGAGGCAGAGGGAGAAGCAGGCTCCCAAGGAGCAGAGAGCCCGACGCGGGACTCGATCCCAGGACCCTGGGATCATGACCTGAGCCGAAGGCAGACGCTTAACCATCTGAGCCACCCAGGTGCCCAGATCAACTTTTTAATATATATATTTACCAACTTGATAGGTGAAAAGTGGGGTCTCAGTATAGCTTTTTCTTTATTTTAAAATAATTTATTTTTATTTTTTTTTTTTTTTTTAAAGATTTTATTTATTTATTTGAGAGAGAATGAGAGAGAGCACATGAGGGGGGGAGGGTCAGAGGGAGAAGCAGACTCCCCGCTGAGCAGGGAGCCTGATGTGGGACTCGATCCAGGGACTCCAGGATCATGACCTGAGCCGAAGGCAGTCACTCAACCAACTGAGCCACCCAGGCGCCCCTAAAATAATTTATTTTTAAAAAAAGATTTTATTTATTTGACAGAGAGAGACACAGCAAGAGAAGGAACACAAGCAGGGGGAGTGGGTGAGGGAGAAGCAGGCTTCCCGCCAAGCAGGGAGCCCGATGCGGGGCTCGATCCCAGGACCCTGGGATCATGACCTGAGCCGAAGGCAGATGCCTAACAACTGAGCCCCCAGGTGCCCCTGAAATAATTTAGGCATTTTTTTTTTAAAGATTTTATTTATTTGAGAGAGAGAATGAGATAGAGAGAGCATGAGAGGGAGGAGGGTCAGAGGGAGAAGCAGACTCCCTGCTGAGCAGGGAGCCTGATGCGGGACTCTATCCAGGGACTCCAGGATCATGACCTGAGCTGAAGGCAGTCGCTTAACCAACTGAGCCACCCAGGCGCCCTAGGCATATTTTTAACACCAGGTTTCGTTCAATAGCAAGAGGGTCCCTTGCAATTCTGCTGGATAACCATAGTCACAGTTTAGCAAGTCTAGGGACCAGGAGAGGTGACCAAGACAGAGTTAATCCTCAGGAACAAGGCCAGAGCCCACTTATTAGACTTGGATCCAAGCTCAGGGCAGCAAAGGGCATTTATCCCAATAGTTGCTGTCCAAGAACATGGAATAGGAGCTGTTGGCATCCTGTTGCCTCCAGTCATGGTAGACACTGGGGCCCTGGGCTGAGCTCTGTCTTTGGGTGAGCAAGTGACTCTGGAGATGGAGGACAGCTGCCCTATAGACCTTCCCCTGACACTGTAAGGTAATACGGAATGCCAAATACTGCCAGCAACCTGCCCATCCATTAGGACTGGCCTTAGCAGTGTTGAAGGTTGCTAGGAAGAAATGACTGGGGTTGGGACTCCTCAGCTCTGGCAGAGATTTGCCCTGTCAGTGAGCGTGTGAGAGTGATATTCAGTCCTCAGCACGTCCAAGTCACAAAGATCGCCATGGGCATCTCAGGACTGAATCTGAGATGCCCTCGGAAATATTTCCTTAGTCAATATGATTATAAAGCCAAAAGTGGCTGTCAGATTGGGCAAGGAGACAAAGCTAGTCTCCCAGGTCTGATGTGGGCATGTCCTCCTTAGTATCACCCCAGCAACCTGAGGAGGCGTTCAGGGTCCTTCTCTTTCCATCACTCAAACTGTTTTCTCCCAGCATGAAATAACTTCCTTCCCGGTAGAGAAGAGACCACCTCCCCTGACCCCACTCTGGCCCAGGCACAGCTGGTTGATTTGTTCCAGAAGGAGGTGGTGAAGCAAGCAGCGTATGGTTGGGGATTGCTCCCTGAACCCACATAGCACCTCCTGCTGGTGACTGACCCCAAGGCTTACCGTGGAGGCTTTCATTCATTAACTAGTTCCTTTCTTTTTGACTTCGAAGTTTCAGGAGCTTCGCTATAGGGAAGATCACTTTTGCAGGAAAAAAAATGGTCCAGTTTTCTACTTTTCCTGATTTTCTTTTGAAAGGAACATTAAGCAATTTCAGGATGTTAGGAAAGCCCTAAGATCATGGAGAGGCGGCTTGCCTGATCAACTTTATCCTGGGTAGGGGCACCTGGGTGGCTCAGTCCTTAAGCGTCTGCCTTTGGCTGGGGTCGTGATCCCAGGGTCCTGGGATGCAGCCCCGCATCGGGCTCCCTGCTCCGCAGGAAGCCTGCTTCTCCCTCTCCCACTCCCCCTGCTTGTGTGCTCTCTCTCTGTCAAAATAAATAAATAAAATCTTAAAAGAAAAACCAAACACAACTTTATCTGAGTAAAAGATCTGGTGAGTGTTAAGAGTTGCTCCCAGGGCCCTCATCGCCTCAAAAGCCCGCCACTGGCTTGGAGAAAGTTTCCCACTGAAAAAGATAAGACAACCCCCTCACAGCAGCAGAGATTTTACCCCTTTGCTTTTTCCATAGAAATTGCAGAATTTGTCTGGAGGCCACTGGGACTGAGTCAGTAACTGAGATTAGAGCTGTTTTCCACAGCCCTTTCTTAGGCAGGTGGGGCTTTGGGACAGATTAGCGAAGGTGTTGTGGAGAGCTTGTGGCTGCCTCCTGTGGGCCCACGGGAACCCTGTGGAGGTGAGGCAAACCAGGGAGACATTTGCGACTGACATTAGAGCTGGAGTCCCACCGTCCTTCACTTCAATGCAGAAAAGTAACAAGAAAAAGCTTTTGCTGGATAATTTTCATTTTAACTATTCACACAATTTTCCCGGATCTTGAGCATTCTTTGCTCTCAGTGTGACCTTCTGCCCTTCAATTTTAGACGTGCTTAGGAAGCAAAATGAAACCCCTGCATGGGGACCGGAGGATTCTCTGTACCTCTGGAGCCAGGTGAGTTTAGAGAGGGAGGCGGCAGCTGAAGTTCCCAGTTATGCCAAGAGAGCCTGTGCTCTAAAAGGAGAAGCAGATAATGTATTTCCAAAACACAAGTCATACCTCTGTGTGACAGTGAAAAGAGAGGGGCTGAGAGAAGAGCTTCCCTCAGCCAGGCAGCCTACAGAATCTGTGGGACTCAGGGCAAAAAGAAAGTGCGAGCCCCTTGGTCAAAACACAGGAAAAAAATTCTGTTAAAGGTACATATAAAGCCAGACACAAAAGGACAAATAGCAGGCAGCTGGGTGGCTCAGTCGGTTAAGCGTCTGCCTTCGGCTCAGGTCATGATCTCCGGGTCCTGGGATCGAGCCCCGCATCGGGCTCACGTGCTCTCTCTTGCTCGCAAAAATAAATAAAATCTTAAAAAAAAAAAAAAAGGACAAACAGTGATTCCACTTAAATGGGGTCCTGAAAATAGTCAAAATCATAGAAAGCGAAAGTAGAAGGGTGGTTGCCAGGGGCTGGGAGGTTGGGGGATGGGAGGTATCATTTAATGGGTAGAGTTTCAGTTTGGGAAGATGGAAAAATTCTGGAGATGGATAGTGGGAATGTTCGCACAAGGATTTGAAGGTACTTAATGACACTGAACTTTACACTCAAAAATGGTTAAAATGGTAAATTTTATGTTATATATATTTTACAAACCCCCCCCCCACATACACAGACAGGAATACATGAGTTTTTTCCTTCTTTCGAGGTCTCTCTCTCGACTTGTCTTGGTGTTATTTTATTTGCTATCTAATATTGTTCTAAGCAAAGAAAAATTAATCTCAAATTTTTAGCATGAATTTTGCCCTTTATATTGTGCAATGCTAGTTTTTTTTTAGGATTTTATTTATGTATTTGACAGAGAGAGCGAGGGGCGGGAGGGAGAGAGCACAAGCAGGGGGAGCGCCAGGCAGAAGGAGAGAGAGAAGCAGGCTCCCCGCAGAGCAGGGAGCCCGATGCGGAACTCGATCCCAGGACCCTGGGATCATGACCTGAGCTGAAGGCGAATGCTCAACCGACTGCGAGCCACACAGGTGCCCCAAGTGCAATGCTAGTTTTAAATTAAAATATCATAGTATTTAACTTGTATTTGAAATCACTGAAATTACACAATTCGAATTTTGTGGCTCCCAGAGTGTATGTACCTCGCGCTGGCTAGAAGAGACAAAGACAAGCCAGGCTCAGGAAAGGTGGAAGGAGGAAGCAAGGATGGCCCGGGCTCAGAGCCCGTGGAAAGAGTCCGCCAGGGCCTGGGACTTCACAGATGCCTGAGGAGGGTACATCTTGGGCCTGACAGCTGCCGGGTCCCCCTTCCCACAGGCCTACCCCTCCAGCCCACAACAAACAGGCTGCTCCCAGGTATCGTCAAATTCAGAACTGGGAAGCACTCAGTACAGGGGTGAGCTTCTTGGCTGCGGTCAGCGGCCCACCGCAAGCACTGTGGTGCTGCCAGCCGGGGGTGGGCATGGCCACCGCCTCGCCGGACTCCACGGGGTGCACGCGCCCGACACCGACCTGCCAAAAGCAGAGGGCATGGTGGCAGGGGCGGGGTTGGGGAGAGAACGGGAGGTCAGGTAGGGGAGTGACAGAGAACCCATCCAGGGAGGCCGCAGAGGTTGGCACTGTGTCCCATTGCTCCATGAGACCTCACAGGACACAAACCCAAAACTATTAAGAATTCCCAGACCAAGATTTAATGCAACCACAATGCATTAAATCGCAAGTGCAGGGTCTTGTTCAACTGCACTGGTCACATGTCCATGAGCCAGCCATGTTCCTCAAGCAAAAGAGAAGGCGGGATTTGGCTGGAGTCTTCTTTGTAAGATCGCCTCATCCTTAAGAAAGCCTAAATCTAGAAAGTGCTTACGGCAGAGGGGGCTGAGGCAGCCTTTCTCCACTTCCCTGGGCTCCCTTTCCTCGCTTGCCAACAGACTTCAGCTGGGCCCTGTCCTTTTCGCCCTCTCCCTCCCTGCTCACTGTTGGGATCTGCCAACTGTTGACTGGTCTACAGTCTTAACCGAGCTAGGAAATACTGGACCGAAGTTCCTAGAATCCATCCATTTCAGTGCTGAGTGCGTGGTTTCCCAAGTTACTTCCGTAGGCCCAGGGCTGCCATGCAGGACGGGCAGCACGGGAGACCCTCCAAAGCCAAAGCTGGTTGGCCCCTGCTGGCCTGGGGGCGTGGGGGCTGGGGCACAGGCCGCTGTCTGGCCCTCTGGGCAACTGCCACCTTTGGAGGGTTGAGGAAGCCAAGCCCTCCTCTGACTCTGTTCCCTAAATTCTTGCGACTGCAGACTGTGGGCAATATCCTTTCTCTTTGTAGCGGCCTCAAGTTGTGTCTGGGAGAGTGGGGGCTTTTCTCGGACTAAGTGTTGCCCTGAGCCTCGTCTGGATCACGTTGCAGTTACGCTCCTTCCGGCTCCGTTTGTAAAGCGTACTCTTGTTTCATCAAGTGTCTTTGGGGAATTTTCAACTCTGGAGGGCCCCTCTCTGCATCCCACACTGGGAAGAAACCGCGCACCCGCTTTCCTAGCAACTCTCTGCCCATCAGCTGGTCTTCCCTTGGGCCCCGGAGGTCCTGTTCCCGGGAAGGCAGGCAGGCAGGGGACACACCAGCAGCATCCCTCTGCCCTTTTCTCTGGTGCTGGTAAGAAGGCATTTTCTCTTGAGCCGAGGGACAATCGGGCCGGCCTCCGAGCGGAGTCCAGCTCAGCCCCATCCAGTCTACCTGGCAAAGGGGCTGGGCTGAGGGAGAAGGCCTGTGATCTGAGCAAAGGCAGCTGTCAGGGGAGCAGGGAGGCTGACAGCCTGGGCTTGGTCCTGGGAAGCACAGCAGGCCTGGGTGGGCCCCGCAGAGGAGCCCCCGGGCAGTGGCCACGACCTTCACTGGGAGGCCAGAGCACCACCCTGTGATTTTGCAGATCCTCTTCTTCCTCTCTCTTCCCATGCCAGCCCTTTCTGAGCCTTAGCAGGCCTCAGCTGGGAGTTCTTCTATGTGTGTTTAAATGTCTCAGTCAAGAGTGAAGACTGGATCTGTGTGTGACTAAGACCTTTTCTGATGTTAAGTATCTGTGAGGAGCTTTGAAGGGAAAGCAACCAGTCCCCTGCCCAACCCCCTTTTCAGATGACTAAGTCATGACCCTTTTTAACAAGACTTCAAAGAAACCTCATCAAAGATAACATTTATATTGAATAAAACAGTACAACAGTTTTCCCCTTTTGACTGTAAAGCTTGAAATGAAACACGAGCGCCTCATTTCAGCTCTCTGGCAAACAAAGCATAGTGAACCACAGCGAAGCAGTGGTTATTGCAAGACAAACTTGGTGGACCCTAAGCTGAATTTCTGACATTAGGCATGGTTTTTCAAGGGCTCAGGTCATTAGGCAATCAGAAAACACCAGAGCTCATCTCGATCATCTCTGCCACAAATTGTCATCTGAGAAGGCACAGTCGCCGTGTGGTGGAATAGCTCGCGGGACGTGGGGCTCACAAAGTCTGGGTTTTGCCCTGTGTTTGCCCTGCCTCTGCACAGCCAGAGGCCTCAGGTGAGACATTTAACTTCTTAGGAAGCTGTTTCCCCTTGTATGAATGGGGATAATAAATCCCCTATATTTCACAAAACTGTTTTAAGTACGTAAAAATGTATGAAAAAATACTTACTCTGTGCTTGATAAACAATATACTCTCGATATACGTGTGCTGGGTTGTAATCATTGGTGGTGTTTTCTGCAACACTCCCCACCCCCCATACCAATTTAATAAAACAAAGGTAAAGGTAACATTTTAAAAATTGCTGTATTCAAAATTAATAATAAACTTTAGGGTAAATAAGCTTTAAAACAAAAGTACATAAGCAAAAATAAATAATTTACACCGACCCACTAACCTAATTTTCAGAGTAAAGCCATTTTCAATTACAGCACTGTTATCCCGGGCTCCAGCCTGTGGTCAAACTTTGATAGTTCATTATTTTTAAAAAACAGTAACAAAAAATTGAACGCTAAGTAAAATCTTTAACAAAACCAAAGCACTGGATTTAACTTTTTAATTTTAAATAACCAAACTTTGTCATTTTATACATAATCCAATGTCATGGATCCAATTCAATATAATTAGCATCTCAGCTTGAAGAGGTGGTATTTTAACAGGGATGGAAAACTATAATGAATAGTCTTCAAACCGTGAGGTACAAATAAAAACATACAAGTATACAGTAGAACAAAAACTGCAGACACTCTATTAACTTGGGGAAATATTCGAAGGCTTTACATCCTTTATTATCCATGATGGCTTTTGGAATTGATTGTTTGAAGTATAGAACCTTTGCCGTTTTAGATACAGCCTTTATTTTATCTTTTCACAGTAAGTTAAAAATCCATCATAAGACTCCACTGATCTTGCATGTAGACGCTAGGAGTTTGCAAACTGATAAAAGAGTAACGTGAAAATTAACTGTATTGCCCTAATTTCATACATCCTTGTACACAATGAATCCGTTTGGGAATCTATTCCAAGGGTTATACACACAAAAGTGTCAAGAATAAACTGTTCTCCACTCTTGCATAAAAATGTGTACAGTATTTCAGGAATGGAAACATTCTAATTTTCCTGGGCCCGGGCTCATGGATGTCTGCTGCCTGAAGATTTGAAAGGCTCCTTCTGATGTAGTGCCCCACTGTTTTGAGGATTAATCATCCAACCCTGGCGTTTCTCCTTGTTGGATCCTAGATGCTATTCTGATGGCTTCTTCCAGAGATGGCTGTTCTCCAAGCTGAAACAGGAATAAACACAAAGGCATACCAAAGAGAATACCAAAGAAATAGTATATGCCAGAAGTAAAATTTTTTTTAAGAGTTTTATTTATTTATTTGAGAGAGAGAGAGAGAGAGAGCACAAGCAGGGGGAGCTGCAGGCAGACAGAGAGGGAGAAGCAGGCTCCCCGCTGGGCAGAGAGCCGGATGTGGGGCTCGATCCCAGGACCCTGGAATCATGGCCTGAGCTGAAGGCAGAGGCTTAACTGACTGAGCCACCCAGGTGCCCCCCAGAAGTAAAATTTCTCTCTGTAATTCTGACAGCTGGACTTAAGATACTACCGCTGATCCAATCATAAATGCATAAAAAAAATCCTTGCAGGAGTATAATATATTTTCTTTCTTTAGGATTTTGATAAACCTTCACTCGGGCAACAGACAAAAGATGCTCATCTTTTCCAATGGAGGCACTGAGAGAGCATCCTGAGCCATCAGCTTCCATGCCCATAAACTAAATTAAAACCAATGGTTGGCATTTTCCTAAATGTGTTCTCTTTTCCAAGTAAATACATGAAAAACAACTCTTCCCAAGGAAAAATAATCTGCACCTAGCATTCTAGACTCTCTGCTTCAATCCAGTGACTTCCCTGAGAATAGTCTTTTCTGTCTTCTGATGTTCCCCCAACATAAAACACAGCTGTGCAGGGATTCTCAGGGGGACTAACTTAGGGTCTCTGTTTACACTAGGTTCATTTGCAAGGAATAGCTCTTAAGTGCTTTCTAGAATCCTACCTAATGAGACTTATTTTGAAAGTAAAGATGGCTGGCTGGGGGCATGCTGGGATGTTTACCAGAAGCTTTTCTTTTTCTTGCTATAAATTCCCCTAGGGGGATGTGGGTGACTCGGGTCCTCAAGGGTCTGCCTTCGGCTCAGGTCATGATCCCGGGGTCCTGGGATCGAGCCCTGCGTCGGGCTCCCTGCTTGGCGGGTAGCCTGCTTCTCCCTCTCCCACTCCCCCTGCTTGTGTCCCCCACCCCGTGTCTCTGTCAAATGAATAAATAAAATCTATAAATAAATAAATAAATAAATACCCCTAAAACAAGCAAAGCTAATACAGAACAAAGTGCCAGTCTCTTTGAGTCCCCCGCAAACAGCAGTTGTCTTCAAGGAGCTAAGTGCCATAGATTGTTCTGTGCCTGGCCTCCTGTGAAGGTTGTGAATAAAGGACAGCGCCCGAGGCCGAGAGCCGTGAAGGAGTCCGGCTATCACCGCACTCACCTGAACTGCGATCTGGGTGCCGTTGGATGTGGCCACTAGGGTCAGAGGCCTGGTTTCTGTGGTTACTAAGTGATGGCTGTGCTGCTGGTGCCCCATCTCTGATGAGGCAGCATGGAATGCTGCCAGGTCCTGAGCCACAATTGCAACCTTCAACCAAAAGTACACACAAGGAAAGCTATGATTAAGTACATCAAACTCCATTTAATGCGAGGGACTGTCTTCGGATCTGAAAGGAGAAACTCCCTTTTGACCACAGACTTGTAGAAGTCTAGAGCTGGAGGAGAACTTATATATTGTCTATTCTAGACTCTTCTTCTTCTTAAGATTTATTTATTTATTTTATATAGAGAGTGTGAGCAGGGGTAGGAGCAGAGGGAGAGGCAGAGAATCTCCAGCAGACTCCCCGCTGAGCATGGAGCCCCACACAAGGCTCGATCCCACGACCCTGGGATCATGACATGAGCCGAAATCAAGAGTCGGATGTTCAACCAGACTGAGCCATGCAGGCGGCCCTGGACTCTTCTTTTTTACTTGAAGAAGCTGAGGCTCAGAAAGAAGGGACTTATCCAAGCTTAGTGAACCAATGACATAACAGGTTAGAGGACACCGGACAAGGGGATCTGCTACACCAGGCTCCACTAACCAGGGGAGACGTGACTGTGCCTATAGGTTCTATTACTCTAAGTGGCTGCTTGGAAGGTTACACATGTGGACTAATTCATATCTCAACGGCCTATTTACTCCTCAGTGGGGATAAATGGTAGGTAATATACTATTTTCTCCTATTTACCTGTTGCATTTAAAATTAGATTTCCATTTCAGGAGGAAAACTGAAAGGGCTGGGGATTGACTGGAGGGGGTCACAAAGGAACTTTCCAGGGTGACAGAAATGTTCTATATCTTGTTTGGGATGGTGGTTATATGGGTGTACATATTTAACAACTCACTGAATTGTAAGTTTAAGATCTGTACGTTTCATTGTATGTAAATTTTACCTCAATTAAGAAAAAACAGATTGTGAGCTGATATGAAAAACTGTGTTAGTGGTCAGACAAATGATAATAAAAACAGAATTAAACTTTTGCTTGTCAATTATGCAAATATAAAAAAAATCCTCAATACTAGCAAGAAGAGTACAGAAAAACAAGGAAGCTTTTAGATCCACGGCATAATTGTTAAAACTTTTTGGATAACAATTTGGCAGTATGTAGCAAACAGCTTAAAATACTTTATACCGGGGCGCCTGGGTGGCTCAGTTGGTTAAGCGACTGCCTTCGGCTCGGGTCATGATCCCGGAGTCCTGGGATCGAGTCCCGCATCGGGCTCCCGGCTCAGCGGGAAGCCTGCTTCTCCCTCTGACCCTATCCCCTCTCATGCTGTTTCTCTCTCTCTCTCAAATAAATAAATAAAATCTTTAAAAAAATACTTTATACCGTTAATTCGATAATTCCATGTCTAGAATTTGTTCCTATGAATATAATCAGAAGCTTGTACAACAATTTATGTATGTGGAATGAGTAAGTTCCATTTGATGGATTACTTTACAGATGATAAAAATCCTTTTATAAGAACACTTAATTGGTATGAGAAAGTGCTCAGAATATAGTGTTAGATGATAAGCACAAAATTATAATCCTAACTCTACACACCACACATACATACACACACACAAAGTAAGTAGTCCTAAATGTTGAGACTAGTTATTTTAACATCAAAAGAGTATAGCAGGTTTTTAAAAAGATGTTATTTTTAAGTAATCTCTAAACCCAATGTGGGGCTCGAAATCACAACCTTGAGATTAAGAGTCACTGACTGAACCTGTCAGGTGCCCCGATTATAGCAGATTTTTAGTTTGAGTCTCTATTTTTAATTCTTTTGGATATATTGCTACAAGCGGAATTATAGGATCATATGTAATTCTATGTTCAACTTCTTTTAAGTAGGCTCTATGCCCAACATGGGGCTTGAACTCATGACCCCAAGATCAAGAGTCACACACTCTACCAACTGAGCCAGCCAGGCGCCCCGCTATGTTCAACATTTTTGTTAAAGATTTTATTTATTTATTTTAGAGAGAGATAGAAAGTGCGAGCAGGGGGAGGGGCAGAGGGAGAGGGAGAATTCCAAGCAGACTCTACGCCCAGCACAGAGCCCGACATGGGGCTCGATCTCACAACCCTGAGATCACAACCTGAACCAAAACCAAGAGTCAGACACTTAACCAACTGAGCCATTCAGGTGCCCCTATGTTCAACTTTTTGAGGAACTGCTATACTGTTTTCCACAGTACTTGCACCATTTTCCATTCCAATGAGCAATGCACCAGAGTTCCAATTTTTCTGCATCCTCGGCAACACTTGTTACTGTCTGTCTTTGGATAATAGCCTAACCTCATGGGGGTGAAGTGGTATGTCAGTGTGGTTTTGATTTGTATCTCCCTGATGACTAATGATGTTGAACATCTTTTCACGTGCTATCTGGCCATCTCTAAATCTTGTTGGAGAAATGTCTATTCAACTCCTTTGTTCTTGCTCAAATTGGGTTGCTTGTTTTTTTTTGTTGCTGAGTTATAGGAAGTTTTTATCTATTCTAAGCATTCATCCCTTATCACATATATAATTTGCAAATATTTCCTCTCATTATGTAGATTGTCTTTTCACTCTCCTGGTCCTGGCCTTTGAGGCACAAAGTTTTTAATTTAATTTTTTATTTTATTTTGTTTTTTTTTTTTTCTTTCCAAATTTTTAAATTCTAGTTAGTGAACAAAGTTTTTAATCTTGAACAAGTTTAATTTCTTTCTTTCTTTCATTGCCTCTGCTTTTGGTATCATACATAAGAAATAATTCCCTAATCTGGGTCATGAAGATTTTCATCTATATTTTCTTCTAAGCATTTTATAGATTTAGCTCTTAAATTTAGGTCTTTAATACATTTTGAGTTAATTTTTATATATGGTATAAGGTAAAGATCCAACTTCATTCCTTCTCATGTGGATATAGTTTTCCCAGCACCATTTGTTTAAAGGACCATCCTTTCCCACTGAATGGTCAAATTTTAATTGTTGAAATTTAACTGACTATATATGTGAGGGTTTGTTTCTAGACTTTCTATTCTATTACACTGGGAATATACATTACTTTTGTAATCTCAAATTAAAATAGATGGAGAGCACAGACTCTTCTTTATATACCTGCTAACTAGGCTTCCAGAGGCACCTGGAAAACCGAGTCTACGAAATCCAATTACCTTAACAACAAAAAAAAGGCCAGTGAAGGACCAATTGCTTTCTTCTCGTGCATGTAAAGAACTAGGCAATTTAAGCATTACAGATAATTCACAGGTGGTGTCTGGATACCCCAAGTGGATAGCCAACATTTGCCCGATGGCCTACAGTTGCAGAAGAAGGAGCAATGGCAGCATCTGGTCCTCAAATGAAACCCCCACTCCTGTTGTAATATCCCTGGTTGCTGGAAGCTGCCTGGCTTCATTCCAGCCCTCAAAACTGTCTCTCCTGAAAATTTTCCTATACCTCAGGCTACAGATAAACTAAACTAAAAAAGAATGTTTGCCTTAGGGTCACTATCCTTCCAGACCTGCAACTGTAACTGGCATAAGGTGTATTTACCCAAGCTGTGCCATGCACCCATCCAGGGATCCTACAGCCACGGAAATGACCGGGACCACCCTGTAAGACAGCCTGAAAGCTAGTGGTTGGGTTTTGCTTTTGTTTCTGTTTTTGCATAGAGTATAATTAACAAACAATAAAAATGCACAAATCTTCAGGTGTTCTCTTGAGTTCTGACAGTTAGATACATCTGTGGAACCACCACCTAAAACAAAATAGAGAACAGTTCCTTCATGTTCCATCCCATCAGTTTCCTTCCCCCAGTCAAGCAGCATTTTCTGATTTCTATCACCATGGACTTGTTTTGTCTGTTCTTGGATTCCGTGTAAGTGAAATCATACAATACGTATTCTAGTGGAACTGCTTGGTCATGGGATATAAGAAACCACCAAACAGTTCTTCAAAGTGGTTATATCATTTTACACTCCCACTAGTGTGTACGAATGTTCTAGTTGCTTCATATCTTTACCAAATGTTGTTAGTCTTTTCTGTTTTAGTAATTTTCCTGTGTCTGAAATGGTGGTATCTCATTGTGATTTTAACTTGCCTTTCTTTAATAACTACAGATTTGAGCACTTTTTTATGTTATTGGCCATTCTTGTATCTTCTTTTGTGAGAGGTCTGTTCAAATGAGCAGTCAAATGATTTGCACATTTAAAAAAAATTGTATTTATTTTACTCATTTTTAATGGGCTATTTGTCTTTTTACTGTTGATTTGTAGAAGTTTGTTATATATTTTCAATACAAATCCAGTGTCAGATATATATAGTGTGAATATATTTTTCCCAGTCTGAGGCTTATCTAATCTTTTTCTTAATGGTATCTTTTGGTGAGCAGAATTAATTTTCATGAAGTCCAATTTATCATTTTTTTTCTTTTACTGGTAGTGCATTTTTTATCCTAAGAAATCTTTACCCTAAGGTTACAAAAATATTCACTTTTCTTCCAGAAGCTTTATGATTCTGAATTTTGTATTTCAAGGTGTAAAGACTTCCAACTTTGTTCTTTTTTCAAGGTTGTTTTATTTATCATAGGTCCTTTCATTTTCATGTAAATTTTAAAATGAGATTATGTAATATCTTCAAAAGAACCTGCTGGAATTTTGATTGTGATGGTATGGAATTTATAAATGAATTTATGAAGAATGTGAGCTACTAATTTTGACAGACTCTTTCATTGAACATGGTAAAGTAGCTGTAGTGAATCTAACATTGCTTTCAGCATAGCACAAGAACAACTGTTAAAATGTATTAATATCATGTATTTTAAGGGAAATGGAAAATTAAAACTACAAAGAGATACATCGGATTGGCAAAAATTTAAAAGTCTGATACCACTATGTTGACTCTACAGAAGGGAAAGAGGAGGTCTCGAATGCTGCTGATGGTCACGTGGGTGGGCACGGCCCTAGAAGGGAAGCTTGGTGCTACCTATCACAATTACAAGTGCACTCTAGGATCTGCCTAGCAGACTGACGCTCACCCGTGCAAAAGCACATGACCACAAGGTTACATGCTGTTTGAAATAGCAAAAGTCTTTAATTACGGTGTTCATACAGTGAAATATCATATAGTTGCTCTCTATATAACGAAACAGAAATATTTTTTAGATGTATAATTAAGTTAAAAAAAAACAACAAGGTGAAGAACAGTATTGTTTACTACCATAAGAAAAAAAGGAAGGGGGGAAGATGACTCTTTGTATTTGTTTGTATATGCTTCATGAATTGCTGGAAGATTACGCAAGAAACTAGTAACAGTGGATTCTCTGCGGGGGGCAAGACCTAGGTTGATGGAGGCAGGGGTAGGAGGAAGACTTTTCACTGCATACCTGTATATACGTTTTGATTTCTGAACTACGTGAATATATTACATATTCAAAATATTAAATAAAGAAAATTTCGCAAATGAACTATTCCTAACTATCTGATGATGATCATAGGAGGGGCTACCATTAATGGGCTTTATATTAAGTACTTTATATGCATTATCTCATTCAATCCTTTTGTCAACCTTATGGTGTGGATGCAACCATCACTGCTATTTTACAGAGGAGGAGAAACAGACTCAGAGGGTTGTGTGGCTAATGCTATAAAGCTGGGATTCAGTCCAAAGTTTGTGTGCTTACCACCACCATATCACCCTGCGTATCTATGTAACGGTTATGATACTGGTATGTGTGCGGATTCATATAAAAAGAAAATAGCAATTACCTGCTGTCCTTCTGTGCCCTCTGCCGTAACCATAGCAACAGAGTGGGTCCCTCCTGAGGAGATGACCGCATCATGAGCCGGGACTGTGATGGGCGTGCCATCCTGCGTTACCATTGTGATGGTATTGCCAATGGCTTGCATGTCAGCCTGAGATATGTTGACCTGCAATACAACGCATTTTACCAATCAGTCTGTTTCTTGTTGTATTTGGCAATTTAAAAAAAAATTTTTTTTAAGTAATCTCTACACTCAACGTGTGGCTGAACTCACAACCCCGAGATCAAGAGTCACATGTTCCACTGACTGAGCCCAACAGGCACCCCAAAACTGACTGTTTCTTAAACGCATTTCTTCCTCTCCATCTCTACTGCCAATTTAGACCCTTATTTTCCTCTCGTCTGACTTCCTGCAATACAACTTCTTTCTAGGTATCCAATCTAACCCTTACCTAAACCATCCTCTACCTTGACACTTTTTTTTTTAAGACTTTATTTATTGAGAGAGAGAGAGTGAGCGAGAGAGAGCACAAGCAGGGTGAAGGGCAGAGGGAGAAGCAGATTCCCCGCAGAGCAGGGAGCCTGATGTCGGACTTAATCCCAAGACTCCAGGACCACGACCTGAGCCGACGGCAGATGCCTAACTGACTGAACCACCCAGCACCCTACCTTGACACCTTTTTAAGAAAACAAATTTCATTATGCTCCCTGCTTACATCACCAGTGACCCCCCCATCACTAGAGTTCAGACTTTTTACATGGCATTTGTGACCTTTCGCAATCTGGCTTTAACAGCTTCTCCAGACTCATCTTCTACCACTTCTAAACCAGCATCTGGCACTCCCAGCCACAACTAATCGTTCGCAGTTCCAGAATGTCATATTCTGTTATATCTTCGTGACTTTTCCCTTCCCTTCACTCTGCCTACCAAACTCATGAAAATTCTTCAAGATCCAACTAAATGGCCACTCTCCGTGGCTCAGTCGGTTAAGTGTCTGACTTCAGCTCAGGTTATGATCTCTGGGTCCTGGGATCAGCCCCACATTGGGCTCCCTGTTCCGCAGGGAGTCTGCTTCACCCTCTCCCTCTGCCCCTCCCCCACTCATGCTCTCTCTCAAATAAATAAATGGCCACTCTCTATAAGGGTTTCTAAGATTCCTTCAGGAAGAATCATTTACTCCTTCCTCCAGGCTGACACCGCACTTTACACATCCCTCAATTATATACCCATCATTATAAGAAGTTATTGTTCATTTAGGAATATCTCCCTCCTACTAGACTATGATACCCACCCCCACTTTCTGTACTCCCCACACTAAGTCTACCAAAATATCTGGCATTGGGTAGAATTCAGTAACTCTTTACTATTTAATTGACTAAAGGAATGGAAGAGAAATCTAATCCCTGAAGGAAAAAGGAATGTTACATCTGGAGAAAATACATCAGGATAAGGGAAATAGCTGTTCTGGAACACATGAAGGGGGATGAGGCTCATTTTATCTGGTCAGAGAAGAGCCAGGAGTGGTTGACATAGCAGTAGGTTCCAGTCTGATAAACAACAGAATTATCCAACAATGGAACAGGCTGCCTCTTACGAAAGAAACTGCCTTATCTGTCTGGGGGCTGCTGTGGCGGGAAATCCTCCTGTATCAGGAGGGAGGGAGGTTACATCGCATGACTTCAAGAGGGTCTGTGTCTGTGTTGATCTAATTCAAAAAAACGTCTTAGGCTTGATGCTAAATTAAAACTGCCTTAGTAAATATGTTTAATCTTGCATGGCAATCAGTGGACAAAGAATACTGTGAGGAAGTAGTGCTGTGAGGGGGAAGGGAATGAACTGGATACTACAAGCACCTTGAAATTGCCAATCCCAAATGTGTTGTGTCTCCTAATTAACACCAGCACAGTAACAGTTATCAACACAAAGGGCGGATTCATCATGAGAGGGAAGCTCTGAGAGAAACAGGGAAGGAGAGAGTTCTCCGTGGAAGAGATAGTTATAGGAGGATAAAGAGCCCCATATGCCTATTTCTACCAGGTAGAGACAACCTTACTTGGAGCTTAAAAATGAAATCAAGTCTGGATTACTTTAGGCTAGTGGCATCTACAAAACAATGGTTTGGAGAATAACCATTACTTGCTTTTCCTGGGGAAATCAAGAGACTTGGTCTATTAATTCTGGGAGGTAAGTTAAGTGAACTCCCATTAACTCCAGGTAGGGAGAGAGCTGCACTCTGGACATTTTACAGTTTTGCCCATTGCTGACTTCCCAGGATCTTTTTATTTTTTTAAAGATTTTATTTTTAAGTCCTCTCTACACTCAACGTGGGGCTTGAACTCACAACCCCAAGATCAAGAGTGCTACGCTCCACTGACTGAGCCAGCCAGGCGCCCCTCCCACGATCCTTTAATGATGTCATCATATCCTCATCCCCTCAGGCAAGGCTCTGCCGGTTTCTCACTCTCACCTCCTGGATCTAATCAGCTACTAAATCCTAGCTTCTCTATGTTTTCTCATGGATCCTTTACTTTTCAAGCCCTCAATTTCACGGTGGTACTGACCTTTATCACCTCACCTTTGAACTACACCAATAACACCAGGCAAATGCTGGAGTCACAAGCATCCTCTCTCCTAATGGCCCTGTATGCAGTCTCTTTCAGCAGCCTACGGGAAGACCTTCAGCTCTAGCACTGCCTGTGAGCTGGTATTCAAGGCTTTCCTCAGCTGGGGCCCAACCTGCCTTCCATGTCCATAGTCAGAGAAATATTATTTAACTTGTTTGGCTTTTGGTGGATACTCACATGCTGAGTCCCATCCTGGGATATGAGTGTAACTTGCTGACTCAGCCCAGCCTGGGTCACCGTGGCTACTTGTGTAGACACAACATCGTCCCCTTCCACACCTGTAACATACGTGATCTGGGACCCTTTAAGAACATCTTCACTTTGACCTATTTAAAACAAATGAATCATTTATTTGACCAACCAATCAAGCTGTTTAGAAAACAGAGGATATATTTTCTTTTTTTTAATCACTTTGAATATTTATTTATTTTTTTCCCCAATATTTATTTTAATTCCAGGATAGTTAACATACAGTGTAATATTAATTTCAGGTGTACAATACAGAGATTCATCACTTCCATACATCACCTGGTGCTCATCACAATACTCTTTAATCCCGATCACCTATTTCTTTTTCTTTTTTTTTTTTTTTAAGATTTTATTTATTTATTTGAGAGAGAGAGAATGAGAGACAGAGAGCATGAGAGGGAGGAGGGTCAGAGGGAGAAGCAGACTCCCCGCCGAGCAGGGAGCCCAATGCGGGACCCGATCCCGGGACTCCAGGATCATGACCTGAGCGGAAGGCAGTCGCCCAACCGAGCCACCCAGGCGCCCCCGATCACCTATTTCACCCATCCCCTCCTGCCTACCTCCCTTCTTGTAACCATCAGTTTGCTAGGCATAGTTAAGAGTCTGTTTTTTGGTTTGTCTCTCTTTTTTTCCCTTTGCTCCTTTGTTTTGTTTCTTAAATTCCACATGAGTGAAATCATATGGTATTTGTCTTTTTCTGACTTATTTCACTTAGCATAATACTTTCTGCCTCCATCCATGTCGTTGCAAATGGCAAGATTTCATTCCTTTTTATAGCTGAATAACATTCCATCGTGTGTGTGTGTGTGTGTACATTTTCTTTATCCATTCATCTATCAGTGGACACTTGGGCTGCTTCCATACCTTGGTTATTGTAAATAATGCTGCTATAAACATAAGGGTGAATGTATCCTTTTGAATTAGTATTTTTGTATTCTTTTTTTAAAAGATTTTATTTATTTATTTAAGAGAGGGAGAGAGAGAGAGAGAGAGCATAAGCGGGAGGGGCAGAGGGAAGGAGACAGAAAGAATCTCAAGCAGACTCTGCACTGAGCATGGAGCCCGATGCGGGGCTCAATCTTACAACCCTGAGATCATGACCTGAGCTGAAACCAAGAGTCAGACACTCAACCAACAGAGCCGCCCAGGCGCCCCTTGTGTTTTTGTATTCTTTAGGTAAATACCCAGTAATTCGATTACTGGATCATAGGGTAGTTCTATTTTTAACTTTTTTGAGGAACCTCCATACTGTTTTCCACAGTATCTACACCAGTTTGCATTCCCACCAACAGTGAACACGGGTTCTTTTCTCTCCATGTCCTCACCAACACCTGTGTGATTTTAGCCATTCCGACAGGTGTGAGGTGATGTCACAGTGTAGTTCTGATTTGCATTTCGAAAAGAGAATATTTTAAGTATGACCAAAATACTTGTATAGATTAAAGTGTATATGTATTATATTCCAAATCATAAAAATGGCTTCCAACACCTCCTTCCGATTCTTCCACCTCCACTTTTATAAAGCCAAACCAAACTAAACCTTTCCACATCAAATTTAAATGTTCTAATTTTGAGGGCTCCCGGGTGGCTCAGTGGGTAAAACGTCAGACTTCCGCTCGAGTCATGATTGGTCCTGGGATCCGCCCCGCGGTGGGCTCCCTGCTCAGCGGGGAGTCTGCTTCTCCCTCTCCCTCTATCCCTCCCCCTGCTCATGCTCTCTCTTTCTCCCTCTCAAATAAATAAATGAAATCTTAAAAAAAAAGTTCTAATTTTAGGCGACCCCTTTTATTCTTAATTGGAGTCATTATGTGATACTGTGCATGTGTGCTGGGGCATGGTGGGGAGGTACTGGACAGGAAGACTGCCTGGCAAATAACCCTTCCAACATGGCAAGTATGCATGAAGTTCTTGCAGTCACTTAAGAAGCTGTTAAAAATGATAAGACAATCTTCATAAACATTAACCACAAAACCAGAATGGTGTGTAAACAGAACCTACTTCTAATACTAAATTACTTACTCTTTAACACAAGTGATTGATTGCAAGTCATCAGTACACAATGACCACATTGTGTAAAGACATTGTAATGGCATATTATCTGGGGTAAGGTTAATCATTTAATAAGGGACAGAACAGGAACCACCATCCACTTATTTCATAAAGAACCAGCAAGTAAACAGCACTTTCAACAGTCCATTACTGCTATACTTGGCAACCAGGAAGCCTGCTGTTCCCTCTCTTCTATTGCTTTCCACCTCCCACAAAGCCAGAAAGAGGGTAAATATGGGGGGTTTTTTCCTTCAAGGAAGGACTTATGCTAATTTAGGAGTACTTCTCCAAGTTAGTGGCTGACGCACGCACGCATACGGCTCTGGCCATGGTGGTGTAATCTCCACGGCGGCCATTACTTCACGTCGGTCTGTTCTGTGTCACAGCCATTTAGATACTATTATCCCAAAGGGCTACAGAACCTCGAGAATCATAGGAGAGGAAAGGATCGCAAACCCATCCCTATTCTTAGAAAAACAATCATAGTTTATTATTTTTTTTTAACAAAATGTGCATTATCATATTACGGACTATTTTCTAGAATACAAGAAATTCAGACAATCTGAAAGATCGACTTTGAAGGAAGAGACTGAAGAAGCTTAAAAAAAGAATTTTAAAACCTGAGCTTGTCATCATTAAAGCCGGTTTAGAAAAAACAAAACAAAACAAAAACAAAACAAAGCCTGCTTTCTAACTGCAAGGACCCAGCAGTTGCAGGAATATCTGACTGTCCGCACTCAGGGTGCTTCGCCAAAAAACACAGCATCCAGGACGGAAGGAGCTGTTACTTCTATCACATGACAGACGACTGAAAAGACAAATGAGAACTGTAGCAGGTAGTGAATGATGTACTCTTTCCCTTATTTTCCAACCAACTTTTTTCACCGAAAAGTTTTTCAACACTTCAACGTAAGAACGGGAAAATAGGATTTCTTTTCATTTTCAAATCTACTTCCGTTTAGGAGGTCCTCGGTGCAACAGCAGGACAACCTGGGTTTTGTTTTGTTTTTTTAGAAAACCTTCACCTACTTTACCGACTTACCTATGTTATTTAACTGAAATCACAGAATGTAATCCTCTAACATTTTTTCCCAAGAGTTTATTCTTATCGAAATGAATGTTTTTGTCTCCTACACTACTGAACAGCACATGAATCAGCGAAGAGTTATTTAGGAGTGCCAAACCGCTCTAATGCTTACAGTCAACATCCTTAGTGCACCCAAATAGCCCAGCTGCTCCTCCCTTGCTCTCTGGCCCCATTTCACACCGCCATCCCAGGCAGAAGTGCCCCACTGGCCAGATTTCTTTTAGCCTCTCCAATTTACTTTGCTCTCTCCAACCTCAGGGCTTTCTGTATGTGCCCTTCCCTCCACTTGAATGTCCTCTTGACTTTGCTCCTTATTTCCCCTTCCTGCCGAATCGCTGCCTCTCCACCAAATTAACCCCTATCCACCCTCTACCATCTCTCCTAGTAGCTGTTACTTTAACTTATTTAAGAAGTGTGTCTCGTTAACCTGTAATGAACTTTATAAAACCAGAAAGCTCACATGGCTTGTGCAAAAGATTTACTGCAACTCTTTGCCTTTGCATTCTATTATACCTAGAGATCACTTTATTAAGCAGCACAAGAATTCACATCACTCAAACTCAGCTCAAAGCAAGGCGGAGACTACGGGTCCCTCCTCTGCTTCCCAGCATGTCAGACTCCTCTGCTCCTACCACTCGGACCGCTGGCACTTAAAATAAGCTTGATCTCAAAGTTGGCAGGTTCCAGGGCTTCTTTAGTGACAATTACAGCTTTCCTTGCCGAACAGAAGCCACAGTCAAGAGCGAAAACCCTCCAGCATATAGGTAAGTGCAACCAGGTCTGACAGAAGAAAAACTGCAATTCGAGCTGCGTGTCCTAAATCCACTTTATTGCCATCCTTCTGTTTAACAAGTGGAGAACTAAACAGGGAAAAAAACAAAAAAACACCTCCCAGACTAGACTAACTTCCCTTCTTAGACATCCCAGAGCACCAAGTCCCTTTCTTTGATAGCACTTATTACAGTTGTAAATTCTGTATCTGTGTGATTACGTGAATGAAACTTTGTTATCTGAGAAAATGCTATGAATCACAAATTATGACAGCTGTTGATTCCCCAACACAGAGAGAGGTTTACTAGAAAGAACACTCACCTGGGGGAGGCTCAAAGAAGGCTTCCTGCTCCTCCTCAATGGGCTCAGTGTCATTGTGGGCTGTCCGTTTGTGCATGGCCAGTGTGGAGATCTGCTTGTAGGTCTTCCCACAGTGGTTACAGTTATATGGTTTGGAATGAGTGTGAACAACATGATGTTTGTACAAACTGGAATATTCTGTAAACCTTTTGTCACACCCAGGGACTGTACAAACATATGGCTTTTCACCTAAGTAAAGAACACACACACACACACAAATCAGCTTTTACATATGAAGGCATAATCATTCCATTCCTCCCATGGGGGAAAAAAGCCTCTAATAGCAAAAATAGATAGTTGTCAGATCTCCTTCTATATCGCCATGAGGCAGAACACAAGAAAAGACTCCCCTAACTATGGTTTTGTCTTGGCTCAGAAGGTAGTCTGCATTCTGAGTCTTATCTTGTGCCTGAATACCCTTTTCCCTTAATTTCAAGGGACGAGAAAAGGATGAAGATGTTGCCCAGTTTAACTCTAAGCTTTGATAAAACTCATTTATTGTTAACTACAACTAGACAAGCTAGATATTAATAACAGTATACTAAAAATAATAAATGCAATTATTACTATAACAAATACAGCTTTCCCTAAGGGTTTTATAAGGACAATAAAAAAGGATTGTCTAAAAAGTCTACTAGACATGGTCTGCACACTTACAAATCTAAAAGGACATACCCATATAATTTCTAAAATGTGCATATGCATGTGTGCATACATGTGCATGTCTTACTTTATTCTCATTTTGCACCCTTCCTTGAGTAATCACATTTTCTTGCATGGTTCTAAACACTGTAAAACCACCCATAAATAGTAAAATCTCACCCTAATGTAATCTGTAACATAAGTCTTGAGCATAAAGTAATTGGAAATTGCTTCCTTCCTCTGCCCAGTCTACGTTCTCAAAGCAGGGCAGGTTAATGTTCTTATTTTGGTAAATGATTGTGGGACAGACCTGGGGAGGGCAAGGCCAGGCAGGGAAATGGCAGGCAATTCCAACAGAAAACCTGCCCCATTGATATTTAGGCTGAAGCAGAAACAGCCACTAGGTGGCACCAAACCACAGTCAAGACAGAAGTGGATTTGAATTGAGCTTTGGAGCTCCCTACCGGCGATATATCTGCACAGCCTCAACTGGGTCCTCTAATCAAACTTGCAAGAATGGATTGCATTTTACATGGCTGAATATTTGCACTCCACTCATAGCATAATGTGGGCATTTACTGTATCATCTACTTGATGATCATTAGCCAATCTTTTCTTCCAGTCCAGACCTACCTCTTGGGTCAGACCAAAAATTGTAACTATGTACTGCATCTCTCTACTTCAATGATTCTCAATCATGTAAAAGACCGGGGTGGGTGGGTTATTTCTTTATATATTTTTACACACACACACGGAGCTTTTTAAAGATAACCGATGCCTGGGCCTCATTCCATAAAATTATGTCAGAATTGTGCAGACAGAATATGGGGAATAAGCCTATTTTTAAAAAGTGAATCCAATGTGCATCACATTTAAGAGCACTGCTTTATTTAAATGTTCCAAAGATCAGTATGGCTAAATTTAATGTAGGCATCCCTCTTACTGGAATCTAATTTGCCCATTAAACATGTGGAACAGTAAACTTTTAGGTAATGAGTCTATATTCCACTTGCTTTAAATGGGAAAAATAATGTTTTCCCAGCCCATCTAAAAATCCCAGCCAATGGGTGCCTGGGTGGCTCAGTTGGTTAAGCGTCTGCCTTCGGCTCAGGTCATGATCCCAGGGTCCCTGCTCAGTGGGCAGGGAGCCTGCCTCTCCCTCTCCCTAGGCCTGTCGCCCCCCGCTTGTGCACTCTCTCTCTCTCTGAAATAAATAAAATCTTTTAAAAATAAAAAAATAAAAAACCCAGCCAATTTCCCCAAATATCACACAAAGGCTCTTAAGCACTGTGTTATAATCCACCAAGACTGTCTACATAATATGAAGCACTTCAAACACCAATTATCTAATTATTTAACATTCAGTAGTGGGTATACATTGGTGTGTAATACACAATGATACAGTATAATATCAGACAGGAATTCTGTTTTCCTTCTACACCACAAACGTACTACAATCTAAAAATCAAGTATCTTAAAGATATAAAAGAAGTGCAAATTATATTAGGAAAATATAATTTTTCTTCTAATCTATGGTTTTCTTTTCTAGGCCTTCTAGGTTTTCACAGGCATTTCCATTTTCTTAGAGAACACTTTAATAGTAGGGAACATGATGGCAATAATGCATATTACACAATGTAAGCATAAGATACGACTGTATCAGAAATATGACTTCAGTGTGTCCTATGTTCTCTCACTCAGACTCACATGCAACTTAAAAATTTTTTCTTTTATAGAAAAATGCATCACATGGGGCGCCTGGGTGGCTCAGGCGTTAAGCGTCTGCCTTCAGGTCAGGTCATGATCCCAGGGTCCTGGGATCGAGCCCCGCATCGGGCTCCCTGCTCCGCGGGAAGCCTGCTTCTCCCTCTCCCACTCCCCCTGCTTGTGTCCCCTCTCTCGCTGTGTCTCTTTCTGTCAAATAAATAAATAAAATCTTTTTTAAAAAATGCATCACAAGTAGATTCATTATAGTGGGTTTTCAGTTTGGATCATAAATTTTGGGTAAAAATTTTGCAAATCATTACAGCAAATATACAGATGGTAAGAGTTCAAGTGGGGAAGGATACCCAGAGACCTAAAGATTCCAAACTGACAGCGTTATCTTCCCTTTCCAACCTGCTCTCCCCCATTTAACGATTATCATCTAACCCATCACACAAACTAGACTGATAGGTTTTTCTTTACACCTCGTGACTAACTTAGTCAGTCACCAAGTCCTGTGCCAATACCTCACCTCTTCAATGTCTTTTCATTTGTATCCTCTATCTCATTCACTTTGAATATTCTAACAGCCCTCTCAGTTTCCTCACCATTAGTCTCATTTCCCTTTAACATCTTTCTATAATATGGACTGATTTTTTTCTTAAAAAAAAAAAAAGCAAACGTTTGGATGTCTGGGTGGCTCAGTCAGTTAAGTGTCTGCCTTCGGCTCAGGTCATAATCCCGGGGTCCTGGGATTGAAACCTGCATAGGGATCCCTGCTCAGCAGGGAGCCTGCTTCTCCCTCCCATCCCCTACCCCAGCTTGTGCTCTCTCTCTCACTCTCTCAAATAAATAAAATCTTAAAAAAAAAAAAAAAAAGCAAACATTCTTTAAATCCTCTTAAGGTTTCCTCTCTGCCCATAGTGATATTCAGATTCGTTAATGTACTCTCTTCAAAGGGAAGGGATTGTTGTGGATCCCTGAAAAGATTTCCAGAGATACTCAGGGATCCGAGGAATGCAGCCAGAGAAACAATGCAGCCAGAGAAACACTGCAGAAAGTTCCATTCTCTAAAAATGTCTTTTAATTTAATTTTATTTATTTTTTTAAATGTTTTATTTATTTATTCATGAGAGTCAGAGAGAGAGAGAGAGGCAGAGGCAGAGGGAGAAGCAGGCTTCCTGCCGAGCAGGGAGCCCGATGTGGGACTGGATCCCAGGACCCTGGGATCATGACCTGAGCCGAAGGCAGACGCTTAACCATCTGAGCCACCCAGGCGCCCCAAATTGTCTTTTAATTTTAAATTATTGCAAAGTTACTCTTAATACCAGTAATCAAGACAATGTATTAAACAACGTCTTAAAAAACGAATGCACATTCTGCCTTTGCCTCCCATTTGCCTTTCCCCTCCCGACGACTAAAAATACATTCACAAAGTGCGGCATCAAAATTAAAAACCTTTGCACTGCAAATGGTACCACCAAGGAAGTGAAAAGACAGCCCACAAAGTGGGAGAAAATATCTGTAGATCATATATCTGATAAGGGACTTGTATCCAGAATATAATAAAGTATTTTTACAACTCAACAATAAAAAGAACCAAATCTGAAAAATGGGCAAAGGATCTGAGTAGACATTTCCCCAAAGAAGACCTACATATGGTCAATAAGCACAGAAAAAGATGCTCAACATCTTTAGGATGCAGGAAAATGCAAATCAAAAGCACAATGAGATAGATACCATTTCACACCTGCTAGGATGGCTATCATCAAAAAGATAATAATTGTTAGCTGCATTGTGGAGAACTGGAACCCTCATACATTGCTGGAGAGACTGTAAAATGGTGCAGCCACTGTGAAAAAAACAGTTTGGCAGTTCCTCAGAATGTCAAACACAGAGTTACCATATGAACCAGCAATTCCACTCCTAAGTATACACCCAAGAGAAATGAAAACATAATTCCACACAAAAACTTGCACATGAATGCTCAGAGCAGCATGATTCATAACAGCCAAAGTGAAAGCCACTGGTGAATGGATAAATAAAATGTGGTATATGCATATAATGGAATACTATTCAGTAATTAAAAGGAAAGAACTCGAGCCTCAAAACACTACGCGAAGTGAAAGAAGCCAGATGAAAAACACCCTATGTTACATGATTCCATGTGTATGAAATGTCCAGAATGGGCAAATCCATAAGGACAGAATGATGATTGCGTAGGGCTGAGGGGTGGGGGTGGGAGGAGACTGCTAATAAGTATGGAGTTTCTTTTAGGTGGAATGAAAATGCTCTAAAATTGGATCATGCTCATGGTCGTACAACTGTGTGAATATATTAAATAACAGTGAATCATATACTTTAATGAATTTATTCATTTTTACTGAAGTATAGTTGGCACACAATGAATCATATATTTTAAATGGATGAATTATACAGTATGTGAATTATATCTCAATAAAGCTGTTTTTTAAAAAAGAATATAGCCACAGACCGCCCCTCCCCCTCTGCCCCACAAACAGCACAAAAGCCCAGTTTAAGAAACACCCTTACCATGATAGTGCAGACACAAGGCCCCTGCCTACCCCTCCAACTTCACTTCGTACTAGTCTTCCACATGTGCCCTATGCCTGCCATATTCTCCAAATAAATCGTGTTTTTCATACCTTTGTGCCTTTAACCGTGCCGTTTCCCCAGTCAGGAATAACCTGCCCCCCGCCTTCTAGCTAGCAAACTTTAGGACTCAGTCTAAAAGTCAACTTCCTCTGGACAGCCTTCCCTGAATGCTTCTCCCTTTCCACAGAGGTGGTTGCTCCCCTCTCTACTCCCACAGCATCTCGTTCAAGGAATGGGAGACACTTTGCACTCCGTAGCAATTAGAGGTCTGTCAACTCTCCTCAGTTCAACTGCCCTTGACCATGTCATATCTGTCTCTGTATGTCTGATGCCTGGCAGGGGAACACACAACAGATGTTCAGTAACTGTTGAATAAATGAATGTATAAATGCTAATGTGAAGGGTTTTTTAAGTTGCTTAATCCCCCTCCACCATGCTAAGTGGTAGAAGGAGGATGGGAATGACTGGAAAAAGGTTTATGGAAGAAAAACAGAAGACAAAGAAATCAGAGACTGTTACCTGTGTGTATCCTCACGTGATTTTTATAATTGGTTGCACTGGCAAATGCCCTCCCACATCCTGGTTCTGTGCAGTAATACGGTCTTTCTCCTGTATGTGTCCTAATATGTACTTTTCTGATATTTGATGTTGTGAAAGACCGACCGCAGCCTTCAAAGGGACATTTAAAAGGCCTTTCTCCTGAAAATACAAAAAGGAATAAATTAAATGGTGCAAAAATACTTAGAAAATGGAAAAAAATTTTTTAAAGATTTTATTTATTTGAGAGAGAGAGAGAGAGAGAGAGAGCATGAGCAGGGGGAGGGGTTGAGGGAGAAGGAGAAGCAGGCTCCCCACTGAGTAGGGAGCCCGATACGAGACTAGATCCCAGGACCCTGGGATCATGACCTGAGCTGAAGGCAGATGCTTAACCAACTGAGCCACCCAGGCACCCTGAAAACTGAAATGTCTTATCCTTCAATTCTGTCTAGGATCATGCTCAAGACTCTAGCCTTCCCGTATGGGGCTTCCCTTTCAGGGTTTTGGCTTTCTGTGGTTTTCTGCCCTGTAAATAGCGTCTTCTACTCCAAATTTAAATTTCTATAGGAAATCTGAATATTGTTCAAAACTTATCACTGACTGCATGACTTTCCAAGATGGAGTTATCCAGATGGGCATATTAAAAAATGAGCTAAGAAGGACGCCTGGGTGGCTCAGTTGTTAAGCCTCTGCCTTCGGCTCAGGTCGTGATCCCAGGGTCCTGGGATCGAGCCCTGCTTTGGGCTCCCTGCTCAGCCGGGAAGCTTGCTTCTCCCTTTCCCACTCCCCCTGCTTGTGTTCCCTCTCCTGCTGTGTCTCTGTCAAATAAATAAATAAAATCTTAAAAAAAAAAAAAAAAAGAGCTGAGAAAAGCAGAGAAAAAAATATAAAGAAATACAAAAGAAAAATGAGTCAAGAATAATAATTATAGGGATGCCTGGGTGGCTCAGTTGGTTAAGCATCTGCCTTCGGCTCGGGTCATGATCCCAGGGTCCTGGGATGGAGTCCCACATGGGCTCCTTGCTCAGTGGGGAGCCTGCTTCTCCCTCTGCCTGCCACTCCCCCTGCTTATGTATGCGTACTTGTTCTCTCTCTCGCTCTCTCTTTCTCTGACAAATAAATAAAATCTTTAAAAAATTTTTTTAAAAGAATAAGAATTATATTTGAACAATAAAAAATAAAAATTAAATTAAAAATTGATAAATGGCTGGGGCGCCTGGGTGGCTCAGTTGTTAAGTGTCTGCCTTCAGCTCAGGTCATGGTCCCAGGGCCCTGGGATTGAGCCCCTCTTCAGGCTCCCTGCTCGGTGGGGAGTCTGCTTCTCCCTCTCTCTCTGCCCCTCCCCCTCTCTTGTGTGCTTTCTCTCTCAAATAAATAAATCTTTAAAACAAAACAAAACAAAAATTGATAAATGGGAAAAAAATTAATTATATCTGAACAACCCCAGAATCCCCCAAAAGCTTATCTCCTAACTTTATTTATTCTATAATACCTTGAAAAAAATTTTTAAAAAATCTGGTGTCTAGGGCACCTGGGTGGCTCAGTTGGTTAAGCGACTGCCTTCAGCTCAGGTCATGATCCCAGGGTCCTGGGATCGAGTCCCACATCGGGTTCCCTGCTCTGCGGGAAGCCTGCTTCTCCCTCTCCCACTCCCCCTGCTTGTGTTCCCTCTCTCGCTGTGTCTCTCTCTGTCAAATAAATAAATAAAATCTTTAAAAAAAAAAAAAAATCTGGTGTCTAGTATATAATACACATTACATATACTTGCTGAATATATTACTATGCTCATAATCTAAACTTATGAAAAAGTTTATTCTGCCAATTATATTCCTTTTCTTCATACTTGCTTTATATAACCTCAGAACCCAAAGGGCCTTTAAACTGTTAGGCAGGAAGTAGTCTTTGGTTTTGATTCCCGTGTGCCCTTCTTTAGAATGAGTTCAAATTAGGCAAACAACTTCTGTGGTTAAAAAAAAAAATCTCTATATGTGTAGATAAATAAATAGATATTTACCTATATATATAAAAGTTTGTTATTTTTCTTTTCTTTTTCTTTTTTTTTAAGATTTTATTTATTTATTTGACAGAGAGAGAGACAGCGAGAGCAGGAACACAAGCAGGGTGAGTGGGAGAGGGAGAAGCAGGCCTCCTGCTGAACAGGGAGCCCGATGTGGGACTCGATCCCAGGACCCTGGGATCATGCCCTGAGCCGAAGGCAGACGCTTAACGACTGAGCCACCCAGGCGCCCAGTTTGTTATTTTTCTTTTGGCCAAGTGAAATTACGATTTACCTGCTTAAAAACCATTCCAAAAGATTTCTGCCCTCAAGTATGAAATCATTTTAAAAGGAGCAGGAACCTCTGATCCTTTCTTCAGAGAAAGGTGTTTTGTTTTGTTTTTTTCAATATGTTAACCTAAGGAAAATAGGTTGTCTCGGGTAAGTCCCTTCTCTCTGGATCTAGATGACCTTAACATTTTCCCAGCTCTGACATGCTGTGATAAGGAATCCAGCGTTCCAACAATTCCCATGGTGCTAATATATTACTCCTCCGACTCTGTAGCACCTTATTTTGTTTTTTCACTAAAACAACTTGTGTTTGTAATAGACATCCCCGAAGCCCCCTTACTCAATCCAACATTTTACCAATTAAAATACTCACCATTTAAAATCTGATGCATGAATATGTGGTTTGCTAAATGAGTACTAACAAAGGAATCACAATTCCAATGTTTTGACCAAATATTAATGGAACTAGATTATGTTTTTATGTAACTTTTATATAACAGGTTGGTATTATATAGCAAATCCTAATAGAATTTGCAGGAATTTGGAAACACTTTCGTCTCATAACAATGGATAAAAATAAGTACCTGAATAAAATAGAAGCAGAGATCTGCTGCTTTGTTCCTGAACACTGTAAAGCAAAGCCTATCTGGGATCATATTTGAATTAAAAGCTAAACTTTAATGACTAGACAAGTCCTCGATGGAAATTTGCTAAACTATTTCAGAATACTTAGAAGTATCTGGGGACAAAGTTATCACACTATGTTTAAAACATCTGTGGTAAAATTTCAAACTAAATTATTAAGCTATAAATAAGCTTAGTCAATAGCTATAACAGCATCTCTTATCAACAGTTTCTGAAATTCTTCCAGCTCTCATCCAAAGCAAATAATTACTTTTATAATTGGTATTCCAATTCTACAAATAATTAAGTACAAGAAAGGGAGGGGAGGGGAGATAAAAACAAAGTACCCTTTAGGAAAAGGAGAGGAGGAAATTTAAAGGGGGCGAGAGATGATCACAAGGAAGTGACAAGTCTTCCTTTCTGTGGGGCTGTTAGGGTTCATTTTCTTTAGCAGCAGCTAAACACAGGAGAAGCAGTGCTGAACTGAGAAGGAACTGGGTGCCTTAGGTTCTGGTCTCAGCTGGGCTACTAAATAGATGTGCAATCCTAGGTAAATAAGCCTGTTGCTCAAATAATACCTGTAAACTGAGAGGGTTGGTGATCTATGACCACTGTTCATCTTTTTTGGGACATGGACCCCTTTGAGAATCTAACAAAATTATGGGCCTTTATCCTGGAAAGAAGTAAATGGCAAGGTGCATGGAATTTCAGGAGTTTAAGAGAAACCCTTGAAGCTAACTCTGAAACTTCCAGAGACTCCTTCCCTAAGTCCCTTCCCTACAAATTAAGAATTCCTGGCCTCAGGGCGCCTGGGTGGCTCAATCAGTTAAGCTTCTGACTTTGGTTCGGGTCATGATCTTGGGGTCCTGGGATCAAGCCCCACGTCGGGCTCTGTGCTTAGTCTGCTTGTCCCTCGCCCTCTCCCTCTGCCCCTCCCCCCCAGCTCATGGGCACACATGCTGTCTCTCTCAAATAAATGAATAAAATTAAAAAAAAATTCCTGGCCTTAAATCAATCAATCAATCAATCAGATCCTGGCCTACATATGGTATTTGTTCATTCCAGTACCTGTATGAGTTCTGATATGTTTCTGTAGATCTCCTGAAGTTTTGAAAGACTTAGTACAATTATCTTCTGAACACCGATATGGCTTTTCTCCTGTATGAGTTCTGACATGACTTTTTAATCCATAACCTTTAAAAAAAATTTAAAAGGAATTTAATTATATGAGACCCCTCTAAGCATGCCCACTGAGATTAAACAATTGAAAAATACAGTAAACAGCAAGGATATAATATTAGGCAAACACAACAGAGCAGCTATTAACAATGGACAAGAGTAAGACAGCTAAGGGCTGTCATGCTGGAAATTCCATAGTTTCATCTCTGTCTAGAAGAGGTTGTATGTGTTTCTTTTTTTAAAGTGCCCCAATCTTATTAGATGTTCACAACTCATACCCCAAAAGCTTCAGGTGGAATCGAGACATTAAATGAGGAATAGGGAACAGTGCTTGCCCTGCTGGATGTGTCCCCAGGCAGGACCCAACCCCTGCTAAGTCCCAGTTGCCCATGGTTCCCTCAGGTCTGTCCTAACGTTAAATTCTGTGTCCACTTCTAATGCTCAGCTTTTACTTTTCTGCTAAAAGAAAGCAGAGTGTGGAGTGAAACACCAAACACAGTAGGCAGAAATAGGCCTGAGGAGAAAAATGGAAACAGAGAGAGAGAGAATAGAGCAAGCAGCACAAGAGAAAGGTAAGGGAGAGACTGAAACACTGGTCATCATGCATCCACTAATTCAGACAAAGGCAAGGGGTCAGTTCCTGCCCCTGGCCAGTCTCTGCTTGCCCCCTAAGTGGAACAATGAAACAAAAAAAAATTCATGTTTTTACCTGTTGCAAATGCTTTCCCACAGCCTAGATGCTCACACTGATAAGGCCGGTCTCCCGTGTGTGATCTCTCATGGACCTGTCATTAAAATGCAGGCATGATTCTATTTCCTTTAGGCATCTCTCAGGTAGATGGTCTCAACAAAGACCTATTTTTCTTTTTTCCCCTCTGTTGAATTACAGTTGACCTTTGAACAACGCAGGGGTTAGGGGTGCTGACCCCCGCCTCTCGTGCAGTCGAAAACCAGCGTATAACTTCTCAACCCCCCAAAAATGTAAACTACTAACAGCCTACTGTTGAGCAGTAGCCTTACCAATAGCATAAAGCTGATTATCACATTATTTCATGTTATATGCTTTACATACTGTATTCTTACAATACAGTAAGCCACAGAAAAGAAAATGTTATTAAGAAGATAAGAGAAAATACAATTACAGTATTATAACGTATTTATTGAAAAAATTCACATAGAAGCAGACCATGCAGCTCAAACCTGTGCTTTCAAGGGTGAACTGTATTTTGTTGTTTGTATGGTTTTTTTTGAAAAACAAAAGACAACTTTCCTCAAAAACTATGGCCCAACAATTCTCAATATAGACCTAAATGCTGTATGGTAAGAAGTACTCATTTTATTTATTTATTTATATTATTATTATTATTTTTTTAAGATTTTATTTATTTATTTGAGAGAGAGAGAATGAGAGAGAGCGAGTACATGAGAGGGGGAGGGTCAGAGGGAGAAGCAGACTCCCTGCCGAGCAGGGAGCCCGATGCGGGACTTGATCCAGGGACTCCAGGATCATGACCTGAGCCGAAGGCAGTCGCTTAACCAACTGAGCCACCCAGGCGCCCTATATTATTATTTTTTTAAAGATTTTATGTATTTATTTGACAGAGAGAGAGAGTGCACACAAGCAGGGGGAGAGGGAGAGGGAGAAGCAGGCTTCCTGAGGAGCAGGGAGCCCGATGCGGGGCTCGATCCCAGGACCCTGGGATCATGACCTGAGCCGAAGGCAGACACTTAACGACTGAGCCATGCAGGCGCCCCAAGAAGTACTCATTTTAAATACAGAACAGGAGTACTGGAGGTGTGCATTCCTCTACAGTGGTCAAAGGTGTCTGTACAGAACATAGACACAGTGAGAGCTAGGAGCAGAGCATAGGGAGAGGCTACACAACGTAAGGTTAAGAGTTTGGAGGCTGGTCAAATAAATAAAATCTTTAAAAAATTAAAAAAAAAAAAAAAAAAGAGTGTGGAGGCTGCTGCGAGAGGGGCCCTGCCCCGAGGCAAGGCTTTAACGTGGACTAGCGGGATGGCCATGGCATGTGCCTTCTCTGAGCCTCAGATCCTCTCCGTAAAGCCGAGACGTAACCGCATCTACCGTAGAGGGCTGCCGTGGCAAACGCATTATCACGACAGTGGCCAACATTTACTGAATCTCTACCAGGCCATTCTTTTCGGTACTTTCCATATACAGTATCTGCTTGTTTATTTCTCACAACCACTCTATGAGGGGGGTGCTTGTACAACAAGGAAAATGAGGCCCTAAGATGCCATGTAACATGTCAAGGTCACACACCGATGGGTAATGGGGACTGCTATTCTAAATAGGTTACATGCCTGCCTCCTGACCCACCGTAAGTTATTCACTGTTAGCTGCTGAGTCATGGTATGTTGTATGTAGCTGCCATAAAAATATTTGGTCCATATACTTGGAAGACAGGGCACATTAACAGAAACTTCTGCTAGATTTCAGCAAATCACTCTTAACAGAATAATTGCACACACATTTCTCCTAAACTTACATAAATTTCACATCCGACAAAAATATATTCAAATAGAGTATCTATCATGTGCCAGGTAGTATGCCAGATATTAGGGAGACAGAGATGAAGAACAGTCCAAGCTCTCGAAGAGGTGATAGCTTCTAAAATCTGCACAGGGTTTTACATGGCCTGTGTGTAAGTGTGAGTGTGTGTCTTTATCTTGGTAAGTGAGGGAAAATAATGGTGTTTGAATGCTATAAATATATTGTGTTGGCATTTAATGTCCTAGGTATTGTCGTAATTAGATACAGCATTTCCTTTAAATATACCTTAAGATGATGAGCTGTCGTATATAATTTTCCACATCCATCATATTCACATCGAAATGCCTTCTCTCCACTCTGCTGGGATTTAGCAGTTACTCTTGTCGCATGTCCTTGTAAGACAATCTAGATGAAACAAAAAGTAGGATTTAAATTATTTATATAGAAATAAAGTAGATGAAATTACTGTTTTCAGAATAAAAAAGATAAAACTGTAATGTGGGTTTCCAGACTCAAATGATCACTTTACAAAGATTCTATCGTGTTGAACCAGTTAGGTTATTTCTGTTCCATAGCTGAAGTCAGCAGCTGTGGAAGAAGTCAAAAGATGAGATCCACGAGGGGGCATAGCTAGAGCTCACAGATCTATTCCCATTCTAGAAAAATCAACCCAGGTAGCATCACCATTGTATGCAGGTATTCCATGACATGCTCAAGGGATATATATATATATATGTATGTATATATAGGACATTTGTCCTAAACAATGTAAAGAGCATTTTCAATTTCAAAAGCATTTCAAAGCAACAAAAAAGAGGGGTTTATGTCCCTGTGGTCACCTGTGGGAGATAGTACAATGCATATGATCCTAGTCTGTTCTTATATTCAGTAGATCATTTTTCTGGGACTCAACACCACAAGACTTCAAACAATTGTCCTGATTTTAGAAGCTTTTAAAGATGACCACCTATTTTAGAAATTAAGATACCATAAAAATGGAAGGAAGAACGACTTTCTACTCTATGGGCCCTGTGGTGACAGAGCTGTAGGTTAGGGTGACTTGTTTCGAAGTGAAATTTGAAGGCTGGAAATGAGGAATGAGGCGAGCAGTCCAGACAGAAGGAAGAGTATGACCAAAAGTATGGAAGTGTGCCTGGAAGAACTGGAAACTTAGTACGAGAGGATTATTATCTATATGACAGAGTAACATGAAAAAGAAAGGGAAGCTGAAGACCACATTCAGGAAGAGCTTTAGAAGCCATTCTGAAGAGTTAACCCAGACAATGAAAGCAAAGACAGGCCTTAACATTCTTCTTTAAGTTTATTTATTTGAGTAAACCCTACACCCAATGTGGGGCTTGAACTCACAACTCCGAGATCAAGAGTCACATGCTCTTCCAGATGCCCCAACATTTTTAAAGTAAGGGATTGACCAAGATCAGCTCTGTGTTTTAGAAAGGCAACTCTGGTAATGGTATGAAACAGTGAAAGACAAAAGAGGCAAGGAACCTAAAGTCTGTGTAATCATGAATATGCAGGGAAGGAGTGGTGAAAACTAGCCTAGGACAATGACCACGGAATAGAAAGCAATACATGATTCTGCAGATATTTTAAGGGTGAAGGTGGACAGAGTCCAAGTTTCAAAAGCTAAATGAATAGCCTAAAGCTGTAATAGGTATTTCAGGGCTGTATCGGTTATTTCAGTATAGGACATACTCAGTCTTTGTCAAAAGAAAAACCTGATATATTATCATAAGGGAATGTTAGAGAAGCTAATACCAGTGAAATACTAATCATCTTCTAAAACCATGTACAGAAAATGACTTCATTACTATTTTGCTTAATGTATGTTCTGGGAATTAAGAGAGAACCTTAGCCCTGCCATAAATTCACTGTGTGACCTTGTGCAAGTCAGTAGGGCTTGTTTGTCTGTATAAAGAACATACTGTACTAAATCAGTGATTTTTTTTCTTTTTTAAACTTTTTTCAAGGAGTTAAATTCCTTTGCCAGATGAAATCTTACATAGCATTCTATTGTGCAAAACAGATAAAAGCATTCCTGCCTCTGCTGGCCCAGGCAGGTGTGGGTGGCTCAGAGCTCTGCTAGTCCCTGAGGGACCGCAAAGAAACCCTAGGATCTCCCCCGACTGAAAAATCAGAGTTTGAAAACCACCGTACAAGAAGATAATGCTAAGTCCCCTCTAGCTTTAACATTCTAGGGTTCTGAGGAGGTGCAAATCCCACTGGTAAATAAAGCGCTGAGCCTAGGACTGAATTCCAAAGTGACTTCAATAATAAAGAGGTTCACTATCATTTACTGAGGAGGTGCGTTTACGTGATGCATCGTGGTGGGTGCTTTGCCTGTGCTATCTTGTTGGTCCTCCATGACTATCCAGTGAATTAAATATTTCCTATGATTTACAAATAGGAAAAATGAGGCTCAAGGTAGTTAAGTAATGTCACTTGCCCAAGGTCAAAGGCTGGGAAGTAGGACTTGAAGCAGATTAGCTCTAGAGCTCACGCTAGTCACCCACCAGGCTTTAGGGTGCGGCAGAGCAGTAACTACCCGGCAGAGTTTCTGTAGCTGCCGAGTGAGAGCTGACAGGGTTGAGGAAAACCGGTGATTTTACTGCCTAGTTCAGTACTTGAAATTCCATTTACTGTAAAGGTCTGATGCACACAGCATATAGAACTTTTGTTATCTGATGTGCGTAAACCTGTATATTAGGATGTAATTTATACTCTTGGGAAAGGATAAAATGCAAGCTACCTGAAGAATTTTTAAAAGTAGGGCACCTGGGTGGCTCAGTTGGTTAAGCGACTGCCTTCGGCTCAGGTCATGATCCTGGAGTCCCGGGATCGAATCCCGCATCGGGCTCCCTGCTCGGCGGGGAGTCTGCCTCTCCCTCTGACCCTCCCCCCTCTCATGTGCTCTCTCTCATTTTCTCTCTCTCTCAAATAAATAAATAAAATCTTTAAAAAAAAAAAAAAAGAATTTTTAAAAGTATGTTCTCTTTCAAGAAAGGAATTAATCAAAGAAGTGTGGCAACAGAGGGACCTTGAGGGAACATGGGACACATCAGAATTGCCAGGGAGATTTAAAAAACAAAGGGGCGCCTGGCTGATTCAGTTGGTAGAGCATGTGACTCTTGATCGCAGGGTCATGAGTTCGAACCCCACACTGGGCGTGGAGCCTACTTAAACAAACAAACAAACAAACAAAAATCCTCCAGAGATATTCTAACAATGATTATCATTGGGTAGCGAGTGGTCCTTCACTTTTTATTTTTACCTCTCTATACCATTTGGATTTTTTTTAAGGGTACAATTAGGTAAGTTCTTTTTTAATCTAATTTTTTTTTTAAAGATTTTTATTTATTTATTTGACAGAGAGAGACACAGTGAGAGAAGGAACACAAGCAGGGGGAGTGGGAGAGGGAGAAGCAGGCTCCCCGCTGAGCAGGGAGCCTGATGCCGGGCTTGATCCCAGGACCCTGGGACCACGACCTGAGCTGAAGGCAGACGCTTAATGACTGAGCCACCCAGGCGCCCCTTAATCTAATTTTTTTTACTTGAGTATAGTTGACACACAATGTTGTATTAGTTTTGGGTCTACAGCATAGTGGTTCAGCGTCTCTGTGTGATATGCCACCCTCACCACAGTGTGGCTAGCGCCTGTCACCATCCAACACTATTACAAGACCACTGACGAGATTCCTGGGCTGTGCCTTTTATCCCCTCAATGTATTCGTTCCCTAACTGGAAGCCTGTATCTCCCCCTCCCCTTCGCCCATTTTGCCCATCCCCCCACACCCCTTCTTCTCTGGTAACCACTGTTTTGTTCTCTGCATTTATAGGACTGATTCTGCTTTTTGTTTGTTAATTTATTTGTTTTATTTTTTAGATTCCACATATAAATGAAACCATATGGTATTTGTCTTTCTCTGACTTGTTTCACTTGGCATACCCTCTAGATCCATCCAAGTTGTCACCAATGGCAAGATCTCATTTTTTTTTTATGGCTGCAAAATATTCCATTTTATATATACCATAATTTCTTTATCTATTCCACAATCAACGGACACTTGGGCTGCTTCAATATCTTCACTATTGTATGTAATGCTGTAATAAAGATAGGAGTGCATATATCTTTTTGAATTAGTATTTTCAGGTCCTCTACCCATTTTAATCCAATTATTTGTTTTTCTGGTGTTGTGGGTTTTTTTAATGTATATATTTTGGATATTAACCCCTTATTAGATATATCATTTGCAAATATCTTCTCCCATTCAGTAGGTTGTTTTGTTTTATTGATGGTTTCCTTTGCTGTGCAAAAGCTTTTTATGTTAACGTAGTCCCAATTTTTTTTTGTTTCTGTTTTGTAGACATGTCTACAAAAAAATGTTGCTATAGCCAATGTCAGAGAAATTACTGCCTTTGTTCTCCTCTAAGGGTTTTATGGTTTCAGGTCTCACATTTAGGTCTTTAATCCATTTTGAGTTTATTTTTGTGTATGGTGTAAGAAAGTGGTCCAGCCACAGCAGTCAGAGAAGCAAAGAAATAAAAGACATCTATATCAGGAAAAAAGAAGTTAAACTGTTACTATTTGCAGATGACATGATACTATACATAGAAAACCCTAAAGAGGGGCGCCTGGGTGGCTCAGTCGTTAAGCATCTGCCTTCGGCTCAGGTCATGATCTCAGGGTCCTGGGATCGAGCCCCGCATCAGGCTCCCTGTTCGGCAGGAAGCCTGCTTCTCCCTCTCCCACTCCCCCTGCTTGTGTTCCTGCTCTCGCTGTTTCTCTCTCTGTCAAATAAATAAAAATCTTAAAAAAAAAAAAAAAAAAAGAAAGAAAGAAAACCCTAAAGATTCCACCAAAAAACTATTAGAATAAATGAATTCAGTAAAGTAGGAAGACAGAAAATTAATACACAGAAATTGGTTGTATTCCTATACACTAACAATGAAATAGCAGAAAGAGAAATTAAGAAAACAGGTACGTTACCATTGTACCAGGAAGAATAAAATACCTAGGAATAAACTTAACCAAGGAGGTGAAGACCTGTACTCTGAAAACTATAAAACAGTAATGAAAGAATTTGATGATTAGACAACACATGGATTTTCTAAAAGTAAACATGATTATCTTAAAAAAGAAAGTATACAGTAGCGATCTATATAGTAAGATAATTAGTCATTTTGGGTTTTTTCAATGTATTTCTTTGAAATGATTTAAAAGAAAAAAACCCTACTAAAAATATTTTTTGAAAAAATCCTGGGTTCCATCTCAGACCTACTGATCAAATCTCGGAAAACTGATCTTAGTCATAAGTTTTTGTTTTTGTTTTTTTAAAGATTTTATTTATTTGAGAGAGAGAGAGAGACAGAGATCGCAAGAGACA